GAGGGGACAGCATTTAGTCCGTGACTGCGACATGTGAGGTTAGCTGCAGGGCCGGGCAGGTGAGGTTGAAGAACTTGACTTCTGTTTCAGTTCACTGAGACTTAACTGTGAATGGGTATTTAATTTCATCCAACTTTACCTGCATCTGTTGAGATGATTGTGGACGTTTTTCTTTCATTTGTTGAAAATAATCATGGCCTCATCACTTTGTAAACACTGAAAGAGCTTTGCCTTCCTGGGGCAACCCAGACTCAGTCAGGGCGTGCGTATTGTCCGCTCCGTGGGCCGCTGGTACTTTGCTGGGGGTCACTGCATCTGTGCTCACGGGGGAGTCAGTCTATAAGTTTCTTGCCTCAGAGGGTCTGTGTGTGGTTTTGATGTCAAGGTAGTGCCTCATAGAACTAACTAGAAAATACTCTTTCCTCTTTAAGATTTTTTAGAAATGTTTATGTAGTGTTGGTATTATTTCTCCCTTAAATGTTTGGTAGAGGTCCCCAGTGAAGCTGTCTTGACCACAAGTTGCCTTATTGGAAAGGTGGGGGTTTGTCGGTGGTAGTTTTGGCTTGTAAACAGCAGACATTTATTTCTCACATTTCTGGAGGCTGGGAGGTCCCAAAATGGAAGCATCCGCAGACTGGCATTTGGGGGAAGCCCGGTGCCGGGCTCCTGGGCACCCTCTCATTGCGTCCTACGTGGCCTCAGGGCCTCGTCGGGAGGGTTGGAACTCTGAGTTCAGTGTAGCTGATAAAGGTTATCTTTTTCTTCATGAGCGAGCTTTGTCACTTTTGTCTTAAGCTTGCACACAGTCTCCCCGTTTGTGTAAGTCCAGGCCAGGCTTACGCCCTTACGCCCAGGCGTCCTCACGCTTACGCCGTGCTGCACGCACGTCAGTCCATGTCGGCGGCCCTCGGGTGCCCACCTTACATCAGCTGTGTCTGCCTGGCGTTGCTCACACACCCCTTTATTTGCTTTTACTTCCTGGGGTCTCGGTGGTTGCCTGCTCCCCCCACCTCTCTCGTTCCCCATGTTCCGCTGTTCGAGTTGTGTCTCTTTTCTCCCTGACAGCTTGGCTGGAGGTTTAACGTTATCAAGTTCATTGATCTTTTGGTTGAATTGATTTTCCATTTTATATTTCATTAATTTTTGCTCTTTATTATTTCTGTCTTTCTACTTCAGATTTAATTCGTTATTCTTGAGGTTTCTTAATGTAGAAGTTTACACTATTGATTTGAGACCTTTCTTCTTTTCTGGTTCACACACTTAATTCCGCAAAATCCTGTCTGAACGTGGCTTCAGTGGCTCCCCCAGAGTTTCGATGTGTTGTCTTTCATTCTACTCAGAATATTTTATAACTTTCCTTACTGTGATTTATTCTTGGACCCACAGATATAGGTGTACTTTTTAACTTCCAAATATTTTGGAGTATTTTCTTTTTTCTTGAGGTGTAACTGACATGCGACATCACGCTGGCTTCAGGCGTGCGAGGTGGTGACGTCGTGTAGTTTGGGACGGGCACCGCCGTGAGTCCAGTCAGCGTCACCACGTGTGGCTACAGGGCGTTTGTGTGCGATGAGAAGTCTAAAGTCTGTTCTCCTAGCAACTTGCAGGTGTACGACACAGTATTGTTTAAGTTTTTAAAATTTGTTTATTTTTAGAGGGAGGGAGAAAGCGAGGGAGAGAAACATTGATGTGTTACCTCTCTCACACCCCCAACCAGGGACCTGGCCCACAGCCCAGGCACGTGCCTTGGCCGAGATTCAAAGCAGTGACCTTTCAGGTCTCAGGCCGGTGCTCAGAGCACTGAGCCGCCCGAGCCAGGGCGGGATTGGTAGCTGGAGTCTCTTGCTGCACGCGGCGTCCACAGCGGGCGTCGTTCTATGACGGGAAGTTTGTGTCTTTGACTCTCGTTTTTGCTATTGATTATTAGCTCAGTTCTCTTACTATTCAGGTTTTAGAAATTGTTAATGCTTGTTTTAGGCCCAGTCTTGGTGGATGTTTCACGAGCATTGGAAAGTGTTCGTGTTCTGTTGTGGGGAAGCGGGCGCTGTGACTGGGGTCAGAGCAGCGTGGATGGGGCGGCACCCCCTTCGTCTGCATCGTCCCTCGTGTCTCCGTCAGGTTCATGGGGCACCATTACCTGTGAGCAAGACGCCGTAACCTTTTTCCTTCCTTTTTAAAGATTTTATTTACTTAATTTTAGAGCGAGGGGAAGGGAGGGAGACAGGGAGGGAGAGAAACATCAGTGTGTGGTTGTGGTTGCCTCTCGAATGCCCCCTACTGGTCACCGATCCCTCAGCCCAGGAGTGTGCCCTGTCCGGGAATCGAACCAGTGACCCTTGGTTCACAGGCTGGCTGGTGCTCAGTCCACTACACACTACATACCAGTCAGACACAAGTCTTTTTAAGTTTTTTTAAACGATTTTATTTATCTTTAGAGGGGAAGGGAAAGGAGAGAGGGAGAGAAATATTAATGTGTGGTTGCCTCTCATGTGTCCCCTGCTGGGAACTAGCCCGAAACCTAGGAATGTGCCCTGACTGGGAATCGAACCATGATCCTTTGGTTCCCAGGCCTGCGCTTAATCCACTGAGCTACACCAGCCAGGGCCCTTTTAAAAGATTTTTTTAAAGAAGACAATCCACTTGTGTTATTTTATTTAAGCGATTAACTTAGCGGTCATCAGTCACAGCAGTGACAGGAGACTCCTGCACTTCCACCCACCAGAGCGCCAGGCCCATGAGGCCAGGTGGTGTCTTGTCGGTGGCCGTGTCCCCAGCCCCTGGCCTCACTCCTGGGGGCTGCCTGCCGGTTGAGCAGATGGCTGTGCGGACTGGCAGTCCCCACCTGCTGGGCTGAGGGGTTGGGTTGGCAGAGATCGTTTTCACCTCCAGAAGTTGTGTCTGCCCCTGGTGTTACACCTAGCTCTGCCCACCTCCTGTGTGTGCACTCCCCTCTGCTTTTCTGAGCTCGGGCTCCGGGTCCTCGTCTGTCGGCAGCATCAGACGTCTGTTACTTTGGGGTCTGTTCCTGTTGATGGGTTTCTCTCCTGGTTGTGGGTCACGTTTTCCTACTGCGTGGTTTTGGTGTTGGGTGGAGGACATGGTACATTTTACATTGTCGAGTGGTGGGTTTTGTTGTGTTCTTTTAAACTGCCTTGAATTTGGACAACATATAGCAACTGAAGTTAAATCTGCATGAGCTGAGTACTGTAAGGTGACACACTTAAGGATTTACTGGGAAGTCGTCACGTGCCCTGTTTTCAGACTCTGCTCCTTGTCAGCAGGAAAGGCGCCTTCCCTGGTTCTCGGCTGTCAACCCAAGGCTTCCGTGCACCGGCGGCACGTGGGTGCTGGCACATAGCCGGGAGCCGCTCAGTGGGGTCCTGTGAGGAGGGTGGTAAACAGGCAGACACAGGGTTTCGGCAGGCAGACAGGAGAGTACCTGGGGTGCGTGAAGTTAGGAGGTGGCACCACACCCTCATCTGAGCCAGCAGCAGGCCCACTGCCCACATCTGTGCAATAAGCGGAGGCACTGACGAGGCCGGTCTAGGAAGCAGCCTCTCTGGAGCACAGGGAGGGGGCGTGGAAGTTCAGAGGGTGCTGTTAGGACCCTGGGCAGCAGCAAAGCAGCTGAGGAGCTGCAGGCCCCCTGGGCAGGTTGGCTGGGGTCCACCTCGCACCCCCAGGTGGCAGGAGCAAGCGGAGAGAAGCCGGAGAGAAGCCGGGGACTGGGGGAGGCTTTTCCTTTGCAGGGCCGCTCCAGCGCCCTCTTCTGACAGGCCGGACATGGCACCCCTGGCCAAGGAGCAGTTTGCAGGGCTGACCTGCCTCCCTGAGCAGATGTTGATCTTCTCACTGAGGCACAGCAGGTGGAGAGGTTCCCTCACTGAGACCGAGTGCATCAGCGCTCCCGGGAGAGGCTACGGGGGCCATGATGGCAGAGCCGAACCTGTGCTGGGGACCTGGATAGGAAGCCAGTTTGTCTCCCAGTGTGGAGGTCTCACACCTGGGGTCCCTCTGACTGCTGCGTAGAGAAGGGGTCACAGTGGGTCAGCGTGGGAGCCCGGGCAGGAGGTGGCTGTGGTTAGACTGGGCTGGACGTCAGGGTGAGACCTGGTGCTGGTGAGTCTGCTTAGCCCTGGAGGCAGGAGGAGCTACTCCAGTCCTGTCCCCGGGGACAAGGTGCCAGCTGGGTGGGTTTTGCAGTCTATTCTGAGACAGAAAAGTGCAGGGAGGGCAGGGTTTGTGGTGTGGAGCCTTAGGGTGTCTTGGCGTTCCCTGGAGTTGCTGTCAGCAACGTCTTTCAGGTGCTGTTGGACGGCAAGGCACAGAGGTCCATGCCTGCTCCACTGTCCTGCCCAAGCGGCCTCTCCCCTCAGCCAGGGCAGGCAGCTCAGTTGATGGGAGTCTGCAGGCCGGAGGCCTCTCTAGACTCTGGGCTGGAGTCGCCGCTAGGTTTCCACTCAGTGCCGTTGCAGGTGACTGGCTCCGTCACTTCCTGGAGGTGCCCGCTGGGGTGATCGCCACGGGCTGTGTAGGGCCCTAGGGGTAGAGTTGCCTGTTTGTAAAGATGGAAGGAAACCTTTTGCTGTCCTCATGGGACGTAGCTTCAGAGGGGACCAAAAACAGGCTCCAGACAAGATCCTTCCGTGTCAGGGGGAAAAAGTTCTCTGTGTAACCTCAGTTCAGAATTTTCAGTCTCGGTTTTATGTGGTTTTTCAAAGGCATTTTTCTGATATTTGTATATGAGCATTTGCTTTTTTAAATTAAACTCCTTTTTATTCCATCACTGATGCCCGCCGTCCCCATGCCTTCCTCCACCCCCACCCCCCACAGCCACCACGCTGCTGTCCTTGCCCAGGAGTTCTAATGAACAGACTGAACTAGCAAGCAAAGCAGAGAGTGCCCCCTGCAGAGCACGGTGGCGGCAGGAAAGGGAGGCAGAGAGCTGCCGTAGGAGGACGTATGAGCGTGACTGGTCTGCGCTGCTCTCTCTCTGACAGGGCCAGGACTTCCTGCTCCATGGCCCTCTGGGCGGGGCCCCGGCGGAGACAGGCGGCGGGAGGCTGGCTCTGGGTGCCCAGCCTCCACCCTCGGACACGGCCTGTGCTTGTGACGCCTGCAGTGAGCGCAGGTACCGGAGCGGACGGGAGCCACTAGGCAGGGGGTGGGGCTGGGCCTGCGGCAGGATCGGCTCCTTCGTGAAGGCCACACACTGCCGAGAGGGAACCGAGGAAGCCGTGGCCGATGGCGGGCTGTTGGGAGGGGGCCTGGGTGAGGGCGGCTCCTCCCTCCCTCTTACCCTGGGGACTGACCAGAGGGAGCTAATCCTCAGAAGGGACAGAAGCCAGGGCGAAGTCACTGGAGTCCAAGGTTGGTGGGTGGGCAGGGGCTGGAGTGGCTGCCCAGGACACAGGGCCAGTGTGGGTGAGCCCTGCCTGGTGGGCCCCTGGATGGCAGAGGCCAGGGAGCCAGGTTGATCAGTGTCCCCCATCCCTGTCGAGTGAGGGGAACCAACGCCCCCCTGGAGAGGAACAAGGTCTCAGAGATTGGATAATGAGGGCAGTGCTGGCCAGCAGCAGCCATAGCAGGGCCGATGGTGGGGCAGTGCTGGGTGTAGATGGGAGGGGCCGCAGGGCGGGGTGGGGAGGACGGGCCGACCAACCCTGACCTGCCCCTGTGCTGCCTCACAGGGACATCTCGGCGGAGACGGACCGGGAGCCTCAGCAGCTGCAGAACTACTGGTCCGAAGTGCGCTACATGGTCCGCTGCATCTACCGCCAGGCGGGGACCCCGCTGGCAGACGACCAAGACCAGTCCCTGGTGCCCGACAAGGACGGGGTGAAGGAGCTCGTGGATAGGTACACCTGTTCCCTGTGTCGTGTCCCTCCCTTGCCTGTGCCCCGGGGCCTGGCCTCTGCCCGGGGTGGGGGCTGGGAGGCTCTGCCTCAGGGTCCGGGTGCACTGCGTGTCCTCAGCAGACTGCTGGTAAGAGTGAGCCCTCTGCACAAAGCCTCAAATTCTCGTTTGCCGAAACCCTTCCTGCTTGTGTGGTAAAGATGAGGTGACATGCTTCTGTCGTTCGTCCGTGTACTGAGATTGACACTAAGTACTTACTGTGCCGGGAACAAGGCTAAGCACGTGCTCGGCCCCGGAAGACACTCCAGCAGCTGTCGCGTCTACAAGGCGAGGAAACGGAGGCCTCGGGCACCAAGCCCGGGCAGGCGGCCGGGCCCGTCCCGGTGCCCGTGGGCAGCAGTGGCCCAGCACGTGGCGTCCGCTCCTCAGCGGGCACCGCGTGCTCGCGACAGCTCGGATTCCACATGGATGTCATTTTCATTTTTCTCATGGTTTTAGCATCTTTCTTTTTTGTTTTTTGAAGTGTCCCAAATAAAAGTGATAAATTTTGAGCTAGAAACTTCATGGTTGGATTTCTCAGGCTGGTTTCTTTTTCGCATGTATTGAATGCAGCACCTGTGGGTGTTCGGTAATAACCCTGGTTTGCTGTCAGTCTCTCCTGGACACGGGAGCAGTGGCGGGCCGAGGGCCGTGTGTGCTGGGGCCTGCCTCCAGGGGGTGTGCGCCTTTCCTGAAGTCAGGTCTCCTAGTGACTGTGAGGACAGGACACACGACCTGCAAGTGACCTGTGACTTCACAGCTCACGCACGCGTGGGAAGAGGCCGAAGCGGAGTCAGAGATGGGTGAAAGGAAACATTCAGCAGGTCACAGTGCGGAGGAGGGATGTGTGGCCGAGATGAGGGCGGTGGCCCGTGCAGGGCTGAGGCTGGAGATGGCGCTGTGCCCGCTGACAGCGAGGCGCCCTGTCCGGGACATCAGAACCCCACGGCCCCATCGGAGGTGTGTGTCTCGCACACTCTCTCCCCCAGTCCTTGTGTCCAGGAGCACTTTCCGTTTCAGTGCCGACACTTGGGAAAGGGATGTCAGGGAAGCCCATTGCCAGGGGCTGCCCTGGTCGGGAGAAGTCACTCTGTCCCCTCTCGGGGGCCCTTGGCGTCCTGCGTGATCCGGTTTTGCCTGCACCTCCCGCCCCTACCTGTTCTTGTACTTTTGTTTCTCCCCTGGAGCCTCGGCATTTGCTCTTCTCGGTCAGCATGTTCCGCCCTTTTCAGGGTCTCTCTCTCTCTCTCATCTCCCTCCCGTCACTCACCGCATTCTCCATGCACCGTCTCAAAGAGGCCACCCTATCTGAAGTCTGAGGGCCTGCTCATGTCGCTTATCCCCTTACCCACCTGGGATGGCGCTCTGTGTGTGCACATGCAGGCGGCTCGCCCCAGCTCCCCTGGGTGTGGGCGCCGTGGCGTGGCCCTAGCACGTGGTGCAGTGCACGTAGCGGGGCGTCTGGGTGGGCCTCCACGGCATCTCCAGCACACTGCCCGGCCGTGGGCCTTTAAACAGACCCGTTGGCAAAAATGCCACCCAGTCATTTCATTACGTTTGTAAAGTACTGACACAGACAAGGAAGTAAGATGCGATGTATGTCTAGTTTCACCAGGCTCAGGGGCTAAGAAGGAAGCATCCAGTGTACTTGTGAATTTGTTGGTCCCTGTGTCCTTTGAGCTTTGTGTGGTTTTCTGTAACAGATGAAATACATTCTGTTCCAGAGGACTAGATTGTTAGACTAAAAATTCTGTTTATCTCTCTGAAGTGTACCAACCACAGAGGGAACCCACAGGTTTTTAGTGTGTCTCTGGCCACATTTTATATAAAGCATCACACACTCCATTGCAGGATTTTACTTGGCTCTTTTACGGCTGAGGCAGGGTGGGGATTTTAAAGGGGAATAGGCGGTAACCGATTCTGCTGTCTTGACCAGACATGGTGCCCAGCAGGTGAAAGGAGCCGTTCTGCAAAGGCTAGAAACTGTAGCTCGTGGTGTTGCACAGCCCAAGTCTGATGAAGTGGCTCCCTCCGCGCCGGAGGTGGGGACAGGTGTGCGCTGGTGCTTGGCTGGCCCCTGCTGTCCACCGAGGCGCTCTCTGAGGCTCACGGTGAACAGCAGTGCCCAGCACTGGAAAACAGGCCACCAAGGGGCTTCATGGGGACACCAACCGCTACTGTGGCTTGGTGGGGGTGGCGGGCCCGTTGATCTTTTTCTTGCTCTTCAGCTTATAAGCTTTATTTTATACACTTCTATTAGTTTTTTGGTGGGATAATTTAAAAAGAGAGATACTGTCTCGAAATTCCACTGGTTATAAAACTAGTGCCAGCTCCCTGGGACTGTGTACTGAACTCCAAGAAGGAGAGAGTGCTGACTTCGGCCTCCCCAACCTAGGCATCGCCCGGCGGGGTCGTCGTTTTCACTCGTTAACGTCTTCAGTTGCCTGTGTTACTAAATCAATGGTCCAGTGTCACCCTGAGGCACTGGTGTGTCCACTCCGCCACCTGCTGGCTCTGTGGGTTCCCACACCCTCCCAAGCCTGTGTGCGCTTCAGTGTTCAGTCCTCTGAGGGCCCACTGACTGGACGGTGGCCGAGTTAGTAGAGAAACAGAGCCCGCCAGGGGGGCGGCTGAGTTAGTGCAGGGAAGAAAGTGCTGGCACAGGGAATGTTCTCCGTAAATGTCGGATTTGGGGGCCATTATGGGGACATTCCTGACACCCTCTGCCCATCTTCCTCTGTTGAGATGGGTGAATGCACCTTCCTGGGTTATGAGAAGGCGGTGTCATTTCAGGTGGGCCTCTGGGAGAGGTGTCAGGAGCGACGCTCGTGGATGCCGAGCGCGCTCCGAGGGGAGCGGGGCGCACGGGTGAGCGGTGACTGTCTTTCTGTGTGCAGGCTCTGCGAGAGGGACCCCTACCAACTGTACCAGCGGCTGGAGCAGCAGGCCCGAGAGTACGTGCTGGAGATGAAGGTCCGTCTCCTGCGGCAGCTGTCGGCCGCGGCCCGCGTGCGGGCGCCGTCTGGCCTGCAGGGCCCGCCCCAGGCCCACCAGTTCATCTCCCTGCTGCTAGAAGAGTACGGCGCCCTCTGCCAGGCTGCCCGAACCATCAGCACCTTCCTCGGCACGCTGGTGAGGGAGCCTGCCCTTCTCTGGCTCTGCTGGGCACTAGGAGCGGCGTGGTGTCGGGGGAGTGCGGCCCAACCCGTCGCTGCGCATCCAGGTGGCCGGGGGTAGCCCGACTTCTCTCCCCTCCTGCTGTGGGACACAAGTCTTGAGTGGTGGGGAGTGGTGACATGTCATGAAACACCGTTTGGGGAGTGTGAAGCCAAGGGAGCGAGGTGGCGGACAGAGCATGGTGAGGACCAGTATGGTCCGCAGGGACACGAAAGAGAATGGCTGCTTTGGCGTTTGGCTGCTGTTGCTGCCACGCACAGGGGGATGTGGAGGGCGCGCGCGGAGGGCGCACTGCTCACGGCTCCTGGGCTTTCAGCTCTCGGCTCGCCAGACGCGCCCCCCGACGCAGGCGCCCTGAAGTCCTGATGGAGGAGACAGACAGGGTGCTCTCCCTGAGCCTTGGACTGCCACCAAGAGTAACTTGGGAGGGCATGGAAATGTGGCTCCTGGCAGCAGCGACTGGAGACAGCCTCGGGGCTGCTGGTTGGAAGGTGGCCACAGCCCCAGGAAGAGAGCCTCTCGTCTCTCGACTGCCACGGAAGCACCTGCTCACCAGTGGCATCTTGGGGTGTCGGCGTGACTTGGGTTGTGTTAGGTGGCGCTTCCCTGGCCTAGTTTCTGAGTGGCGAGACCACACTTTGAAACAGAACGTTCTTGAGTTTCAGTCTAATGGCATTTATGTGATTCTGAAGTTGACAGACTTTCCCACCAGAAAAGTTCACACACACAGTTTTGCAAGTAGTGTGGTGGTCGGGGGGGGGGGGGTGGTGGTTCAGGGACTTCTTCAGGCATCACTGCAGCAGACAGTGCCGTTTGTTTAGCGACTCCCAGAACCCAAGGAAATCGCTGGTTGGGAAAGGCGCTGGTGAGCCGCAGGGTCAGCCGGCTCCCTGTCAGGACCGCCGTCTTGGAAGCGGGCCCTGTCCCGGAGCAGGCTGCCTGGCCCTGGTGCCGGCTCCCGTGCCACGTGCCGGCACGTCGCCTTTTCCTCCCCCCTCCTGCTCCGCCTCCTGCATGTCCTTTTGCCCCTCAGAAGGCCCCTCCCCGGACAGCACCCTGGGACCTTCGTGGCTCTGAGGACAGAAGAGTAGCTCAGCGCGTCTCCTTCCTGCATCTGCCGTCGTGTCCGGGTCGGCTGCCTCTGCACGGGCCCCGGGGTCAGCACGGGGCGCTGCTCGGTGAACCCGATGACAGTTCTTTGAACCGCACCTACTGGAGCAAACGCCTAGTGGTTCACACAGGTGTTTCCTTATGGTTTGGGGAAAAACTCGTGAATTTGAAGCACAAAATACAGGTCTTTGGTCAGTGATTCATTTTTCCTTCGCACAGTGACACTCACTTTGGTCTCCAGTGGGACAGCGGACAGGGCCCCCGAACACGTCTTCCCTCCAAGGGAAACATTACCGGCGATGAGCTCAGACGGGAGAAAGTCCGTATGGCGCCTGCCGGGATGGCGCGGAAGGCAGGAAGCCTGAGAGCTGAGGCACTCACGTGCTCAAAAGCCAGCGCTCACCTGAGGATTTCTCCTACTGCCAGGCTACAGCCTGGAGCCCGAGTCCGACCCGGGTGGGGTCTGCACCCGCTGCTGGGACCACGGGGACTCACTCTGTAGTGCGAGAGAGCAGCAGAGGGTCCTCTGGGGGCAGCAGGAATATTCGCCCCAGGACCTTGGCGGGGGGGGGGGGGGGGGAGCGCAGCCTCACCTCCTGGAGAGGCCGTGACTGACCCGCCGCCCCAGAGGTGTGTCAGGCCGTCGGCACCGCGTGGGAATCCCAGGCATGGAAGTGACTGCAGATTGCCGGTCATGTTGGGCAGCCACAGCTCCCTCTGCAGGGCTGGACGTCACCGTGTATAACCACAGCCCGTGTCACACCCACAACACCGACCCCCAGTTGGTAGAAACGTTTGCCAAACAGGTCAGACAGCTCTGTGGTCGGGGGTTCAGACGAGGGTCCAAGAAGGTCCGCAAATGGTTCATAGCGTCCTCCCCGGCCTGTCCTGCATCTCTGTGGCTGAAGGGCCCACAGAGCTCCATCGAGGTGGACCCTGCGCCGGGGTCTCTGAGTGGCACTACCTTTGGGGCTCAAAAAGTGAGGGCCCCAGAGAGCTTTTGTTAACTTGGGTTTTATCAATCAGTATTTCCTGTATGGAAATTAAAAGAGAAATTTAGAAATGTTTATTATTTAAAAATAACAGGCCCATTACATGACAAAAAGAGCCTCTTTTCGAATTTAAAAAAACCTATTTTCCAAAACAACATACGTATTTAGAAGGGGGATATCGTTTATATTTTTGCAAATCTCCAGACATGACACAGGACACCTGGATTCTCACACCTGTGCTGCACCCGGCTTGCTGTCTGGGCCGTCGCCCATCTGTCTTGGGGCGAGTTGCTGTGGCGGCCGCTCCTTGAGAGAGCGCCGGAGCCCGAGTGTTTCTTCAGTTTGTCTTGGTGTCGGCCCTGAAACCGGGTCACACAGCTGCCCACACGCTGCCCCAGCGGACCTGCTCACGCGTGGTCTCCTTGTGGCAGCGCCGCTCACCTGGAAACGCCGGTCCGCCGAGGAAGTTGTTGCCAGCTGCACGGTTCCATGTGAAAAGTCACGGGCCTTCGTCAGGAAGACCTTTGCGTGCGGAGGGGCTTTGGGGCTGAGGGGCCGAGGAGCCGAGGGGCTTCGGGGCCACGGTGGCAGGCGCACATTTTCCTGAGCTCTGATTTTTGCTGGAAAGCTGAGATTGGACGGCCACGAGTAGCGTCAGCTGTTTTCCATGAAGCAATAAGGTCACTGGCTGTGTGGGCCACCTGCCTGATTCTCTGCTGACCCGACACCTCCAGAAATGGCGCCCCTGCTCTCCTGACTCTGCAGAGCCCACTAAATGTGTTCCCATGGAAACACATTTCTAGACGCGTGACCTTCTGGGAAGTGCACTCCTGGGGTCACCGCACACTGCCCTGGGAGATCAGGGTCACATTTTTTCTATACGTTAAGTAGTAAAATGAAATGGATACCAGATTTAAGTTCCGCTGCCAGGCCTCTGCGAGATGCCCCACCAGGCTGTAATAATCCCAAAGTCTGAGTTTCCGTTCACAAGGACATAGGCACCCTGGCACACCCTGCTCTCTCTCAAGGTTTGCTCTAGGACTTGCTTCAGAACCCTGTTGTTGTCGTCCTCCCCCGCCCCCCAGCAGCTTGTGCATTTGAACTTGGGGAGGAAGATGAGCTCAGGTGGGAACACCTTCGAGTTGGAGCATTGGGGTCTCTGCCTGCCTGGGCCCAGTCTCTGCTGTCTTCACACGGGCCTTACCTCCTGTCACCACCATGACAGCACATGCCCTGAAGAGCCATGTGCCCTGGGCAAGGAACTCAGCCTGTGGGAGGCTGTCTCTGGCCCAAGTTCAGGGTTGTTGCTGGTGTAGGAGTTGCAGGTGCTGGCTGCAGGAAGCACTCTGTCCTTGGCACAAGCTAGCATCCTGCAGGTGTCAGCTGATGAAGTGAGTTTGGGGTCTGCGGTTTCTCTCACGGGCCTCATTTGAAGCATAGGTTCAGATTTCATAGAGAACACAGGACATGGCCCTGGGTGGGTGACTCCGGCAGTTAGAGCGCCGTCCCAATGTGCCATGGTTGCGGGTTTTGTCCCCAGTCAGAGCACTTACAAGAAGCAATGGTGAATGTATGAGTAAGTAGAAAACCTCTCACCCTTCCCCCACCCCAGATCAATAAATAAACATTTTAAAAAATTCCGAACATGTTCAGAAACCAGTTTTTGCCCAGTCACCCGGCGCTCGGCCTGCTCCCTGTGCCTGGGGCACCGCCGGAAGGTGGGCCTGCTGCGTCGCTCTTTGTGCCCGTGCCTGGCCTGGCGCCTGCGCAGACTGGCCTCTGGAGGTCTGTGACACGGGTCCTCTCGACGCTTCCCGCTGTGGCCACAACGTCACAGACACATCGTGTCGGGGTCAGGGGCTGAGTTCTTGGTCCTGGGCCCCAGCCTCCCGTGCTGCCCTGCGGCTCAGAGAGGTGTGGGGTGTGGAGAGTATGGGTGAGCTGTTGCTGGCAAGAGCAAGCCAGGGCACCAGGCGACGCCGAGGAGAGGTCGGAAGTTGTGCAGGTGTCGCAGAGCCCCGGCTAGCGGCGGTAGGAACTAGAGGGCCGCCTGGCGCGCAGGCGCAAACAGCACAGTGTGCTCGCGGCCTCGCCATCGTGTGGGTGCGGTGTTCTCAGGGCACAGGTGACGGAGCCTCCCCTGTAGGTCATTCACTGGCGTCTGCAGGCGGGGTGGAAAATGGGCAGAGGCTACTTCGTATCACCCCCAAGGGGTCTGTTTCCAGCAGGACGTGCCCTGATAGTGTGCAGTGGGAGGCAGTTTCTGCTCAGGCCGTCGTCAGGGCGGGAGCCCCCCACCAGCATCGAGGGCTGTTGGAGCACAAGCCGAGAGTGCGTGGCGCTCGCAGGTGGGAGCCAGGTGCACTCCGGCAGTCACAGTGCGGCCTGTGCTCGGTGCGGGCGGCCTGTGGGAGAGGACCACGCTGCCCCTGCTGGTCACTGCGGTGAGGGCTGGCGCCTCTCTCTCCTGATGTCACTCTCCGTGGTGGCCAGCACGCTCCTGGGTATTAAAGTTGTCATCTGAGCGAAGTGGTGAGTGTCTCCAGGTGTGTTAGGGAGCGAAAGACGTGAGCTTCACGGGCGTCCCTAGGGCAGCAGTTTGCCTCTGTCAGAGGGGCAGTTCCTCCAGACGGGCAAGGGGCGATTGTGCTTCGTCGTGGAAGGACCCGCCTGCATTCAAGCTGTGAAAAGTAGGGGTTTTGATGCTTTCGAAAGCATAATTGTAAGCAGTGACCACCGAGTATGTGCAGCCATTCCCTTCCTCCTCTGCCCCCTCCTCGCCTGTGGGCCCCACCCCTTTCATCTGCATGAGTGTGGGCAGGGGAGGCCGGGCAGGGGGAGGCCAGGGGCCGCGTCTCCACCGTGTGTGCTTGCTGCACAGGGCAGCAGCTCCTCGTCCTCGGGGGGCTCTGGGCCTGGGCCGCGGGACAGGTGGAGGGGAGAGGAAGTCCTGGGGCGTTTTCAGCATACGTCAAACTCAGTATGTCTTCTACTTATTTTTTTTAACTAGGAAAATGAGCACTTGAAAAAGTTCCAGGTGACATGGGAACTGCATAATAAGCACCTGTTTGAAAATCTGGTTTTTTCGGAGCCCCTTCTCCAGAGCAACTTGCCAGCGCTGGTGTCTCAAATCAGGTATTTAGTTTTTGTGTGCGCGTGCCCCCGTGGTGTGACAGCCTGGTCCTGCTCCCATGCGCAGCGTGTGTGCCTCCAAACACCACTGCGGTGTGGACGGTCTCGTCGGAAGAGCCCCGGAGCCCCAGTGAAACGAGCCCGGGCGGGAAGCTAAAACCCAGGGAAACGCCGCCGCTGCGCTGGGGCGTGGCCAGCCCGGTGGTGTCGGGGCTGCGGGGCTGCAGCCCAGACTCCTGAGGGGTGGGGAGGGGTGGCGGGAACAGCATCTCGCCTTGACAAGCCCCGGCATGGCCAGGTGGCTGTGCTGTCACCCTGGCTGTGGCGTCAGGTGTGCGGGGGAGGGTCGCAGCGTGGGTCTTAGGGCCTTGGAGGCTCCTGGGCACTGGGCCAGCCACACCGGGTGTCTCTCTGATGTTCCCTCAGTGTCTTGGTTGTCAACTTGGATTCTCCCTGCTCTTGCAGAAAGCACCCAGGGCGCTTGTCCGGGTGAGGCGGGTGCACCAAGCTCCGCGCCTGGGGAAGCTGCCCGGGCACCTGCTGTCAGCGAGCCCGGGGCCGGCCGCTGGTTCCTCCGTGTCTGCTGGCCCCCGAACCGACTCTCACACCAGGGGCATCTCGGGCCGCACAGGTGTGGTTGTGGTTGTTTAAACGTCCTGATTGAGACTTGGACTAGACTCACAAGGAACAGAAGTTGTTCTCGTTATTCTTTTCTTAGAGAGGAAGGAAGGGAAAGGTGGGGGGAGGCCTCCACGTGAGAGAGAAACATCAGTCAGTTGCGTCTCACGTGCCCCGACCACTGGGGACCAAACTCAACCGAGGCATGAGCCCTGACTGGGAATCGAACCCATGACCTTTCCAGTGCTGGCAGTTATGTTTCAGTAGTTAAGTTACTGTTGTGGGTGACTGATGGACCAGTTGTTTTTTCCTCTGGAAGCCCACGTACACACCCAGCCTTGTTTCCTGTACTCCTAGACCCAGTCTGAGGTCTGCGCAGCCCCCGAATGCCCCCCTGGAGAAGCGTGGCCCCCAGGTGGCCACCAGGGCGTGTCCGGGGTGAGGAGGCCTGGTGGGGCCTGGGCCCCCCCCCCCCGGGCTGCACGGAGACCTGGTGTCCTTGGTGTCCTGCCTGCAGTCCTCTCAGAGGAGAGAGTCAGGAGCGTTCGGAGCTGTGAGTCTGACATGCAGAACCTGGTCTTGGTCCCGCTTACCATGTTCCCATCCACGTGAGCACGTTGTAGAAAGACCTGCGTGTCTTGGCAGGAGGGGGTTTACCAAGATGGCAGCGTGTTTACCCTTGTGTTTTTTTATTGACCTGGTGACTCAGTGAGTTTGACAGGCCTGTCTTCAGACAGGGGTGGTGGCAGGAACCTGACGTGTGTCGTGGCACGCCGCTGTTTTCCGCACCCTGCGTCTGGGTTTCTCGCTCGCTCCCCCTGCAGGAGGCTGCTGACTCTTGAACCAGAGTTCTGGGTCCAGGCCTCGCTCTCAGGGGCAGGCCAGGGCTGGGACCAGAGACGGGGTGAGAGCCGGAGAGGAGGGGCACCCAGGGGGTTCCCTGCAGACTGTTGACGGGGGCTGAGTCAGATTTGGGCTCATACTTCAGATGCCCACTTGCCTATTCAGAAAAGTTTGCGGTGGGTTGTACATGGACCCCATACCCTGAGATCGTGGCCTCATCGGTGGCGTAAGCAACCCACTGTTGTTTGTATAGCGACACTTTGTCTCGGGCCCGTGTTTGTCCAGCTGTGTGATAAAGTGAAACTAAGCTCCAGAGACCGACACAGAACAAATGTGTCACTTAACGAGTTGTTAGCAGGCGACATCCCGCAGGTGCCACCCAGCACGGCCACTGGAGGCCAGTCCCCTGCGCGCCTCGTGCAGGCCCGGGCGCCTCTGCCCGAGCCGCTGCTGGCAGGCACGGTGCGGCCTTCCCTCGTCCTCTCGTCTCCCCTGCGTCGGGTGGGGAGCCACCTCTCTGCTCTTCAGCGGGCCTCCTGCGTGTGTGACTGCGCGGGTCATTCGCCGAGGACCGGCAGTGCAGGGCTATCGGCAGTTGCGGGACTCACTGTCTGGAGTCGCAGTGCAGTGACACCGACGTGTCAGGGTTCAGGGTGCGACTCCACAGCATCACCGCACTCACAGTGTTGGACGTCCATCACCAGCACCTGTTCTAGACGCTCCACCTGCCCGAGCAGAGGCCTGTCACCACAGGCCCTGTGCTGCGTGTGTTTGGAGATGCCGTCATCCGCAGGCCCCACCCCTTTTCCGTCACATGTCTATGGTACAGACTAGGACCTATCCATTCTGGGGCAGAGCCCGGCTGCAGCCCGGGAGTTGGTGGCAGGGCCCAGAAGCTCCATCAGACTCCACTTCTGTCCCGGTGGCTGGACTGGGAGCCTTGTGTCTGCTTGTTTGTGGCTGCGGCTGTTTGTGGCTGGGGCCCACCGCAGTCTTCCCTTTGCGGTCTGTGTACGATACTGCTTGTTAGGGAAAGTTCTGATTAGGGTTGTCGATAAACTTCCGCAAACCGACCTTACTCGTTCTCCCGGTCGCCTCCCGTCTCACCACACCTTACCTGTCGTTGGTGTCGGCAGGGGCGTTGTTCACGTGCTGTTGCGTTTTTACAGAGAGAATGATCCCATAGGAACTCCTCTGCTGAATCGTTGTCACTGGACCCTGGGGTCGGCCCCCAGGATCTGTCTCCTTGGGGCTCCACCCAGCTGTGCTTGACTGGGAGCCTGTGCCTGCAGACAGTGCTGCGGGGACCCCACTCGGAATGTCCCAGTGCCCCGTGGTTCCACTTTGTCACGCAGCTGGACCAGGTGGACCCTGTGGACCAGCAGGTCTCACCACCAGTTCCCGGGGCCGAGGCTCGTGGGCAGGCGGAGGCCGGTGCCCCCTGGCATGCCCCTTTCCCGGCTGCTGCGGCGGTGCAGACCTGTAGACTGCAGAGGCGCCTCTGGGTGTGCACCTGGAGTTTTGTGTCCTGAGGGCAGGAGCAGCCCCGGTCACTGTGGGGTCCCTGGGGGTCAGCGTCTCTCCCTCTCCCTCTGGGTGTGCCGTCAGCACAGGTGTGTTTCCCAGCAGGCATCTGGGGACGAGGCGGAGGAGCTCTGTTCGCACCCACTGGTTTAAAGTCATTTTGCGTGCACCATTAGTACACAATTACTGAGTTGTCACTGCAGTAAAATCCTGGAAAGTCACAGGAGGAAGAGGCACTGCACACGCCTGGCTGCTTCCGGACAACTCCCCAGCCCACCTCGCACACGTGTTTAACACGACACCGCAGTCGCACCTCGTTCGGCCTGTGAGGGCCAGTCCTGCGCCCGCGTGAGCGGCCGGGCTCCCTCCTGACGGCGGCGCACACCTGGGCGCCCAGCACCCGGGGCCAGAGGGCCATTGCTGTGGTGTTGGTCCCTGGGGGGCAGCAGCCAGAGCCTCACATAAACGACACCGGCTGTCAGCCCTGCATCCTCTTGCGCTCTGAGCGATGACAGACGTTGTCTTTGGTTTTGAACTTCCTTGTCCACGCGTCTTCGTGCACAGCTATTTTGGTTCAGACGTTGATACATTTAAATACTACAAAAGTGAATGGCTTCCCGCGAGAAGCTGCAGGTCCCCTTGACCTCACACAGGCCTCTCTGGCCGTCTCTCTTGGGGTCCCCCCCGCCCCGTCTCCTTTCTCAGACACATGCGTGTCTTCCTCATTGTCTACCCACATGCGTGTCCTTTGTTTCCTGTTCACGTTCTCGTTTCCCGTCTTACTCTGTTTCTTAACAAGGCATAAAACAGAGCGAGTGGAAGTGTGATTACATTCTGTCGTCTGAGCCAGGTTTTCTGTTTGACCTGGGGACCAGGTGCAGCCTGCGTGCCCTCCCTACCTGCTCTGTCCGAGGCCCGTGTGTGGCTCACTGAATCACCCGACTGCCGCCGTCTTGGCGCAGCGGTGCTCGCCACCCACTCGGTCCTGGGAGCTCTCCCTCCTGGGAGCCACTCCTCGGTGCCAGCCTGTCCCGGGCGCCACGAGTGTCAGTCGAAGCCCCTCACGGCGGCCGTGTGGCGCCGAGTCCTCGAGTCCCTGGCTCGGAGCCTTTGCGTCCTTCTCGTGTTGAAAGGCCTCTCTCCACAGGCTGGGGACCACGACGCACGACACCCGCAGCGAGGACGCCTACAGCACCCTGCTGCAGCGGTACCAGCGCTCCGAGGAGGAGCTGCGCCGGGTCGCCGCCGAGTGGCTGGAGTGCCAGAAGCGGATCGATGCCTATGTTGACGAGCAGGTGTGTGGTGTGAGGGCGGGGTGCCCACGGGGTGGCCCTCGGCCAGTCGTGCCTGCCTGCAGGGTCTGGCAGTGGGGAGTCTGGTCGCCATTGGCCCGGTCATGCCCACTGTCACCTCACAGGCTGCCACCCGGGGGGCTGCTGAGTCTTGGCATTTTACCCTTTACTGAGCACTGTGCCTTTCAGAACCTGGGACGCACAGAGGAGCGGGACCTTCAGGGCCCGTTCTCTCCGCATCCCTGACTGGACAGAAAGGGGGTGCAGACCTGAACACAGCCGGTCGCTATGGGGCAGGTGGCTTACACTGGGGGACAGGGACAACAGAAGCAGGGCTCCTGATGGAGGCGCGGCCTGAGGTTGGGGTGGTGCATCTGCCAGAGCCTCTCCAGTGACAGGAGCAGAGGCTTCCAAGTGGTCCCCCAGCCCATCCCTCTGTTAAGTTCATTTTTCAAACTTGTGATAGTAATACCTGCTTGCAAAGGAAGGAGCAGATCTCCTCAAACTCCCAGGGACGTCCACGTGACCAGACGCTGAACACCAGTTTGAACCTTCCCGTCTGAGAAGGTGCTCTGTTCCCCTCCCGTGAGGCTGGAGTTGTGTCCTGGGTATTGGCGGAATGGTTCATACCCTTCTTACGGAGTTCACACCAGGCAGTGGATGGTTTGGGGTGCCACTCATCGGAGCCCCCCAAACCATCCAGCCCTGGATGGGTTGGCGGGATGAACTTAATAGCTGTTGCTGGTGTATGCGGGGAAGCCAGTTACCGTCCAGCCCTCTGGCCAGATGCCGCTGTCGCTGTGGTAGTTTTATGGGGGTGACCTTGAGCCTTCTCGGAGACACGGTGTCACCTACAAGCAGTGATGGCTTTGTCACAGTTCTAGCACCAGAACAGGAGATTGTTTGGACCTTGCATGTTGTCTGATGCTTGCCATACGGATTTTTGATACTTTGTAGCAAATTTAAAAAGTTTGCTTTTTTTTCTAGCTTATTAAGTTGTTTATTTTTGTAAAAACAAAGGTAGATACTAAATTTCACTATATGTTTTTTTCTTTTATATATTTCCAGAAGGTTTAAGAGACTAGGTTTTCTAATTTTCAGACGTTGTGCATCCCTGGGATTAAAGCCTACTAGAGAGAAGTCTGGCTGGTTAGGGTGTCATCCCAGTGCCCCAGGGTTGTGGGTTCGGTCCCCGGTCAGGGTGAATAAAGGAAGCAACCAATGAATGCATCAGTAAGAGAAACAACAAGTTGATGTTTCTCTCTCCTCCTCCTTTTCTTTCTCTCTAAACTCCAATAAAAAACTTTTAAAACCCCACTGTATCACGATACATTATTTCTAATCCAGTATAAGATGTAGTTAGCTGCTGTTCCATTCGGGATTTCTGTGTCTGTGTCTGAGTGTCGCGGTGCTTGCCCCTGCGGCACGTACTTGGAGACTGAGGTGCAGCGGAGGTTCTTGTCTTGAGGGCTCGTCTGCCTTGTGTGGAGGTTATGCTGGTCTCAGGGAGCAGGCGGAGGGGCCTTCTGTGTTTCAGTTTTGGGGAATACTTTAAATTTTCTGTTCCATAAAGGATTTGCTGGAAATCCCCACTAAACTTTGGGTCTTGATTTGTTTTGCAGGCAGGAGAGACAGGACTGTAGGGTTTTGTTTTGTTTTTATTTTCACCCAAGGATATGTTTATTGATTTGAGAGAAGAAAGGGGGAGGAGAGAGAGAAACATTGTTTGCCTCCTCTGTGTACCCAGACCAGGGATCAAACCTGCAACCCAGGCATGTGCCCTGGCCAGGGGCTGAACCCGCATCCTTCTGGTGTGCAGGACAATGCTCCAGCCAACGGAGCCACCTGGCCAGGGCAGGACTGTTAACCTCCCACTGCCTCTTCAGTTTACATTGTGTTATCAGCCTGCCTAGGCCCTCTGCTCTGTGAGCGAGCTTCCCAAATGGCTCTCTGCCTGGGAAGTGGTCCGCAGCGTCCTGGTGGAAGGCTTAGCCCCAGCGTGTGCTCACAGGGAGGTGTGGGAGTGAGAGCGCCCCGGCCCACGGCCACACTGTGGAGAGAGCACTCTGTCCAACAAAGGTCACAGGAGGGCAGCGTGCCTGCCGTCCTGCTGTCCCCACGGAGTGCTCGCAGAGCAGCTGCGACCTCAGGAGAGGCCTGCGTTGCCAGGGGAAATCCGAAAAGCCTGTTCCTGGGTGACTCAGCTTTTTAAACTGGGCCAGCCCGGCCGAATAGCCCGCGGCGCTCTTGGCAACTCTCCCTTGCACCCTCCTTCCTCTCCCCGTGGCTTCTGTGGGCCCCCCCTGCCCGGTCAGCCTGGGGGGGGCGGCGCGGCAGCGCCAGCGCCAGCACCAGCACCAGCATCTGTTTTCCCAGTAGTTTCAGCTTTTACTTTTAAGTCCTTTCTACCTTATTAGGTGGTTTCTTGTTTTATGTTATTTTGGCTTCTTACACTGAATGCATACTTCTCAGTCTTTTTCTGTTTTGCTCTCAAATGAGCTTAAACCTATATGTTTTCTACAATGTGGGTACATGTTATAAAACTGGATTTGTGGGGCTTTTGTTGTCAATTATGTCAACATCAGTTTCTTCTCTAGTAGTTTAAGCCATTGAAAATTCTTTTCAAGTGTGTGAACTTTATAATGAAATTACTCTTTACTTGTTTTGAAAGGTTTGTTGGGAGTATTTTGTTGCCAGTGGGATTGAATGTATTTGGGAAGAAGGCATATAAAACATCCAGATGTAACCTCATTTCATAGCCTCACCCTCCGAAGTGAGGTAGCACCTGTAGCTCACTCTTACTAACCGTGGTAAAGCACACACGTGAAACACCCCTGCGTCTGTCCTCCTCCCCGGCCCGGGGCCGTCCTTGTGACCTGTGGTCCGCACGGGCAGCGTCCGTCATCCTCCTTCTGTGGGTCCGGCACGAGCGGGACGCGTCACAGACCTTCAGTGGGTGACTGGTGCTCGCTTCCTGTGCCGGTGGTCCACTCTGGCCCCTCCGTTCCCCCTTCACCGTGGGCCGTGCATCTGCAGTGATGTGGGGTCACTCGGGCACCGCCGTGGAAACAGTGTCAGCGACGTTGGCTGTGCTGCCCTGCCCTCGTCCAGGCGGCACCTCCATGCGTGTCATTCCCAACATGCCCTGGAGAGAGGCCTGGGGAGACCCTGCCAGCCCTCAGCGTCTCGCTTTGCCGCTTCCCTTGCCAGGTGACGGCGAGGACCAAGCCACGCACGCCGACAGAGGACTGGGAGACCTTCAGACAGCGGCGGTTCCTCGAAGAGCAGGTGAGGCTGTGGGCTGGCGCTGTTGCCTGGCGCACAGCCAGTGGCTCTGAAAGACCAGCTCAGCGAGCCGGGCAGTCCCCTCCTGGGTGGGTGGTGCCATGTCCAGTTGATGCTCATGGGGCGACACAGGCAGGCCACCAAGCCCACCGACCTCCCTCGAGCTGGGGCCCGCCCTTCCTCACTGTGGTGGCCTCGGGACCCCCAGCTTCCTGGAAACTGGCTTCTCTCAGCTCTGGTCCTCATGCCGCTGCTGTTCCCTGGCTTTCGGAGTCTCCCCGGCCTTGCCCCTGCATCCGCACCCGCCTTCTCACCCTGGTGGTCTTCTCTGGCACCACAGGTGGGCAGAGGGCCCTGTGTCCTGCTCGTACACCTGACCCCCCAAGGCTCCCTACGTGCCTTCTGCCCGGCCAAAAGGGCCTTCCAGCCACCAGTGTCCCGTGGTCGGGGCCAGTCCTGGTCCCTTCTGAAGTCCAGGCGCTCACCTAGTCACTGGCAGGTCTGGGTGCTACTTCCTAGGCAGCTCCCAGACCCCCTGTCCGGGCTGGTCTTCCTTCCTGCTGCTGGTGTCTCTCCAGCCAGCCTTCCTCACAGCTGAGCTCTTTGCCCTGCCTCTGCCCTCTGGGTGCACAGCCCAGCCTGCAGACCCGCCAGGCCACACACTCAGCCCAGTGCCCTGGGTTTCCGCCTTGCTCAGCCCAGGGTCAGCAGACCTTGGGGAGGTGTCAGAGGGACGCCTCACTGGTGCTTGTCCCCTGGCATCTGACAGCACCACCGGCACGGCCTCTTCCTGGCCTTAATCGGGCCTGGGCTCCGTGGCCCTGAGCAGCTAGCTCTCTGCACAGACATCTCTTTGACTCCACAGTTTTCCCCTTTCAGTTTCCTGTCCATCTTTCTGAACCACAGCCCCTTGGGGTCAGTGACTCTGTGCTGCTGTGGGTGCCCAGCAAGTGCGGCCTGAGGAGCCTGTCCAGGGTGGCCGATGGCCGGCCTGCCGCCCCTCCTGAGCCTGTCCTTCCTCAGGAAGCTGTGCACGCAGTTTGTAAATGAGCAGGACTGAAAACTGCGAAGCACATAGTGACAGGGGACTCGTCCGGTAGAGTTAACCTCCTGTTTTATCGTTTCCTCTAGTTAACCAGTAAAAAAGCAGTCACAGGTGAGAACAACTTCACAGACGCCGTGAGGCAGGTGCTGTCGTCCCGGCTGAGCGTGCCCGACTGCCCCAGCTGCCACTACCGGAGAAGGTGAGCCAGCTCCAAGGCCTGTGGCGCATGCCTGGCAGGCCCCGGCTGTCTCGGTGACTGTCCCCTCCCACACAGGTGTGCTTGCGATGACTGCAGCCTCTCCCACATCCTCACGTGTGGCATCGTGGACCCCCCCGTCCCCAGCGACACCCACGTCCACCCGCTGCCGCTCCAGGTGGGCTCTGCTCCTGACTGTGTCTCTGAGATGCGCCCGCCCAGCGAGTCGTCCGCGAGCTCGGGGTCGGGCTCCAGCTCCCCAGTCACCATCCAGCAGCGTCCCAGACTCGTCCTCACAGATGGCGGCCCCGCTCCAGCTTTGTGAGTTGCATCTTTGTTGGAAGGTTTCGGAGGTGTGAGCGGTGCAGCGGTGACACACCGACAGCGGCGTCCACAAAGTGTCGGCGTCGTGGTGTTTCCTGAGACAGGCCCTCCGTTCCTTTTACAGAACCTTTTAACCGCAGGGTCAGAAATGCCAAACTTGGACACTCTCTCATTACCCGAAAAGAAATGGAAGGTGCACGAAGGCCAGTCGGGGACAAACAGGCTGGTGCAGGCAGGGCCCACGTCCCTCTGTCAGGCAGGGCCACACCTGGGTGTCCAGCTGAGGACCTGGGTGACCCGGTGGCAGCCCATCAAATGGCCTGAGTTTCTGTGCCCCACGTGACCTGGAAGTACATCTCTGGGGCTCAGGTACCTCCCCGATGGAGCGTGGGGGTGCTGCTGCCTCGGGAGTGGACGTGAGCCCCACCAGGGCACCTGGCCCATCGCCTCGGGTGGGGGTTCTTGGGAACCCTGAGCAGCCCTCACCCGGTGGGTGCCATTCGTGCCTCCGTGGTGAGGTCTAGGTTACAGAGCCCATCGTATTTTGAGTCTCGTTTTCTTAAAAATGGGAAAGACACCCAAGTTTGGCACTTCTGGATACTCCTGAAGCCAGAACGTCACCTCCTGGAGGTCTTGGTGCTGAGGCCACTGGCAGAAAGGAGGCAGGCTTATGCCGACTGCAGGCATCCATTCGGGGTCCTGCTTTGGACCTTTCACACTGAAGGTCACTGTGCCAACTCTTGTCGTGCACCGGAAAATCACACGTTTCAGAGTGGCCTGCATAAGCAAGAGCCTCGAAACCAGCCTGCATGACTTTCCTGAGTGTCCCACTTGCCCACTGCGTAGAAGTGTTGCGGAAGCGGACGTTTAAGGTCGTGACTGACTTGAGCACAGCTGCTCTGGCAGCGGCACCTGTTTAGTGCCTTGTCACACACGTGCTGTGCAGCGTTGTTCAGCGGGCTGTGTCTGCAGTCACGGCCCTAAAACAAACCCCGACGACCCGAGGCGCTCTGTGCGGGACAGACCTGTGTCTGCTCGGCACCAGCAGAGAGCACCCTGCCCCCCAGGACACTTCAGGTGGGATGGGGGTGTCGCAGCCCTCGTTCAGGTCCCGCTGTGGCTCCTGTTGTGGCTCCTTCGTGTTTCTCCTCGGAGTGATCGCTCCTCCTCCAGCCAATGTGAGGGAGCCGGCTGGGCCTGGCTCTGCACTCAGGTTGCTAAGCGATGTCAGGAAGTGGGATCGGGGCTCGGGGCGGAGCCTCTGGAAGGAGACCACAGTCAGGGGTATTGTCTGAGCTCCTGTGAGTGGCTCAGGGCAACCGCTCTGCTTGTCTCAGCTGCAGTGACGATGAAGATGTGGCTCCGTTGTCTGCCAAGTTCGCTGACATTTATCCGCTGAACAACTACAGCGATGCCGAGGTGGTGGCCAGCATGAACGGACTGCACAGCGAGTTAAACGGCGGTGGGGAGAACATGGCCCTGAAAGACGAGGTATGGCCATGGCGGTGTCATTGTGACACCCGCAGCGCGGGGTGGCGGCCAGGCGTGGGGCTCTTCACGGTGCTCCGCCTGTTTTTAAGTCCCCGCAGGTGAGCAGCAGCAGTGGCAGCTCTTCAGAGGCTGACGACGAGGAGGTGGATGGCGGGAGTAGCGGGGAGCCCCCCGGAGCCCCGCAGGAAGGCACGGCCCTTGGGAATGGGAACCCCAGGACAGAGGACAGCAAAGTGGACAGTCCCCCCCCATCTTACCCCGCTCAGCAGGTGTGGCTTCATCGCTTCACACTCAACCGTTGCACGAAAGCCTTGCTCTGTGTCTCTTTTCCCTGCACTTGAGGAGTAGTAAATGCACAGTCGGGTCTTGTTGGGCGACCTCTGAAGGTCCACCCTGGGGGAGGCCGGGGCACCTTCCCAAGGACACCCCAGGATGGGGGGTGCGCATCTGAGCCTCTGTCTCTCGCAAGAGAGAGAATTCTGCCTGCAACGCCCTGGTTGTGCAGCACCGCAGACGGGGACATTTAGGTGTCAGGGAGTTTTCTTCTTTATAGAAGCCAAGGAGAGAGTTTTTTTTTTAATAAAATAAAATAGTGGAATGGTAAAATTTCAGCAAAGGTCAGTTTTGTAAAAGGCCTTTCTTACCCTGGAAAATAACTTTTTTTGTTACCCAAAGGTGAGGGTATCTTATCAGGCAATTATATTTTCTTCAACAGTTTTATAACAGATGTTCAAGCAATTTTTAAATGAAAGGAAGAAGGAATGGTCAAGATGCTTAGCTAATTAATGCATTTTAATAGTTAGTGTAGACCATGACAGTGAAGGTGGCGGAGAGCATCCTGCTCCCCTGGCTTGCCCGTCTGCCCTGTCTGGCCACCACCCCCTCGCCCCTCGCCCCTGGCCCCCATGGTCCCCCAGGACTGCACACCGCGTTCTCCCAGCGCTTTTATGCACACGCAGGTGTGTGTGCGTTCTTGCTCGCACACAGAGACTCGTCCTGACGCACGCTCCCATCCGCTCCCTGCTGGGCAGGGCCTAGCCGACTGTGCACGGTGTGGGTCTGCACTCTGCCGCAGCCCGTGGTCCGTTGGGCGGGCACAGCCGAGGTGTGTCTTGTTCTCTTTGGCCCCCCACTGATGGACACAGTTTGTCAGCTGTTCATGACCAACATTACCCATTGGACACTGTGCATGAGCAGCTACGTCCCTAGGGCGGTTGCCAGTGGCCTCCCCTAACCCATCGAGGAGCCTGACATCACTATTTGGGAGTTCTGCCCGCCTGATGAGACACAGCCACCCCTGGAGGGTTCAGTCCCGGTCTTACTTCCCATGGGCGGAGTCAGGAGGCCTTTCGTGCACTCGTTCGTTTTCTGTCTCAGCACTGAGTTCTGTGAGGTGTTTGCGGGCTGGTGCAAGTCCTTTGCCAAGGCCTGTGGCATATCTGCTTGTTTTTTTTTTGTGGTGCTTTTTGAAATGCATAAGTTTTTCATTTTGATGCAGTCCGGTCTACCAGGTTTTTTTCTTTGGGAAACATCCTTCTGATGTCGCATCCATGAAAATGCTGCCGGATGCACCACTGCGTTGCAGCTCGTGCGCGGTCAGCTCCGTGGCTCCTCCGACCAGGTTTTGCTCACGGTTCAAGGTGAGGGTCTAAACACGCCCTCCTGCAGGCATGGCTCCCCGTGTGCCTGGTGCGATCGCGCTCGGCTCACCTGCCCCATGGTCCTTCCACCACAGCAGCCGGGGTGGCGGCTCTGCAGTGGGCGTGGGAGTTGGGGAGGACCTGCGCTCCAGCTCGCAGGCCTTTCTCGAAGTTGCATTTCTATGGAGGTTTTGGAATCAACTTTTTACCTTCTACAAAAAAGTCTGCTTGCTTTTTTAAAAAAGATTTTATTAGTTTATTTTTAGAGAGAGGGGAAGGGAGGGAGAAAGAGGCAGAAAAACATTGATTGGTTGCCTCCACTACACTCCCTGACTGGGTACTGAACCTGCAACCCAGGCCTGTGTCCTGACCGAGAACTGAACCAGCGACCTTGTGCCACGGCGCCCAACCCACTGAGCCACGCCATTCAGGGTCCTGCTTGGATTGTAGAGGTTGTGTTGAATTCTTGAACATCCTTGAGTCCTTTTGTAGAATCCAGCAAGATTCTCTGATCCTAGTCTTCTGTCAGTGGGGATCAATGTGGGGAAAATTTGGTCTTAACAGATCCTGTCGGTCTGCGCACACGCTCTGTCTCTGCACTTACTTAAATCATCTTTAATTTCTGAGTTCAGAAAGTTGTTAGTCGATGTGTCTTGAACACCTTTTTAAGACATTTTTAAGTTTAGATGTTTTAGGATTCTACAGTAAGTGGTGTTTTCTCACGTTGATTTTCAGTTGATTGTTGGCAATGTATGAAAATACTTATACAGCTGATTTTTCCGTATCGACTTTCTGCTCTTCAGCTTCACTAAGCTCCCGTGCTTTCAGTCGGCTTCAAGCCTGTGCCCTGCCAGCCCTGGTCCCCCCCGCCCCAGAGGGCTTCGCCTCCGCCTCAGGTGCTGAGCAGCAGTGCCCCTGCCGCTGCTTCTGTCACACGGTGTTGTCTCCCTTTCTCCTGTGCTCGCTTTTCTTGTGCCACACAGATTTCAGGTGCCAATCTCCTTCTGCTGTTGGTTTTTTCATTGTGTTTTTGGCTGTTCAGGGACGTGGGGTCCAGTGGGGACGGAGCCCCGGGCAGGAGGCCAGGTTCCTGCCTTGCTCTCACCTTCAGTCCCCGCCGGTGCACAGGAGTGAGTGCGTCTCAGCTGCCGTCCCCCTTCGTTGGTTTCGAGAGCCTGGACAGTTGTGTCGGCTTGACACCTCATTCCAGCTCAGCAGAAGTTCTGTCTCTGGTCCATTCCGACTTCGTTACCAGGCCCTTGTTGCTGTGCAGACAGGCCCGGGGTGTAGACAGCTGCTGGGAAGGGGGTGTGCACCCCTCTCTTCAGGTTCCTGCAGCCCTGGGCTCTCGGGTCCCTCGTTTTCCACAGAAGGAGGGCCCCAGCCAACGGGGTGTCAGGACAAGCCTGTCCCTACTGTGCACCTGCTTGGCAGGCTGCGTCTGACCTGAGCTGCACCCCGTCTTCTCTCTGAGTAAGCAGGCGCTTCTTTCCTTCAGGCCGAACAAGCTGCCAACACTTGTGAGTGCCACGTCTGTAAGCAAGAAGCTTCCGGACTGCCGCTGTCGGCCATGACGGCCGGAGCCCTTCCGCCTGGCCACCAGTTCCTGAGCCCAGAGAAGCCCACGCACCCTGCTCTGCACCTGTACCCCCACATCCACGGGCATGTGCCCCTGCACACCGTCCCACATCTGCCTCGCCCTCTGATCCACCCCACCTTGTACGCAGCTCCCCCCTTCACACACAGTAAGGTAAGTCGGGCGGAGAGGGCCTGGCAGACAGACACCTGTAGACGGGCAGCCGTCTAGAGCAGCGCCCACCCTGACGGGAAGGTCTGCCAGCGTGTCCTTCTCTCTGTAGCCCTTAAGCTCTCGGAAGTTGAACCTTTACTTACAGGAACAGTTATGGAGGGCATGTTATGAAGGTCGTGGTTTGTTCCTTCAGAATTCACTAGCGTGGAAGGTTCTTCAGATGATGGGTCATACCTGGGGCTGCTGTCCTTGTGGTTTTGAGGGCTTGGCTCATCCTGGGGGAGGGGCAGCGGGGGCCCTTGAACATCAGCTGGGCTCCCAAGTCCGAAACGGCTGTGCTCTACTAAGAAAAACGGAGGGCCTGCGGAAACACACCTGGAGGAGAAGCCCTGGGCACGGACCCCCCGAGGGTCCCCACGCCACACGGCTGAGGGGGGCAGCTAGAGGCTCCGAGACCACGCCTGCCAAGGCTGCCCAGCGCACGGGTGGGGACCCTGGAAACGTCGGTTCCTGGGCGTCTGCCACCTCGAGATCCCCACGCTCACGTTCACCGTCCTAGACTCTCGGGGCTTTGGGCAGGGCTGGTCATTCGGCTCTGTAGACAGCTTTCCCTCTCTAACTGTTTTGGACTTAGTTCTATTAACTCTTACCATACTTCCTGATTTTTATTATCGGTTATTCTGTGTCAGAGTCGTTTCTAATCGAAAACAGGATTCTGGCCAAACTCTCCTGATGTGTTGTTGAGGTAAAGTAGTGACCAGCTGAGATAGGAAGCCCCCACCCACCACCACGGGGGGCTTCTCAGGCTCCGTGGGCGTTTTCATCCCTTTGTGGGTGCCATGAGGGGTGGGTGGGGCCGGGTTGGGTACAAGCCGGGTGCGTGCGGGTGCAGGTCGGGGGTGAACACTGCTGCTTAAGAGTTGAATCGAGTCCTTCGGTCATGTTCTGTTGCAGTGAGTACTTGGAAACCACAGCCAGGTTTATGCCTAAGTCGTGTTGGGTTCAACGTTGCTCCGTCTGAACATTTCAGGACACCTTTGCTAGAACAGTTTAAATGGTGTTTCCAGGTACAGACAGTAGGTCCTCGGTAATGTCTCGTTCAGCGTTGCTCCATTGTAACGATGAGATCGACGACGAGGTGCCGTACATCCCTGACTCCTGCCTACATGCCAGTCCACGTGTGGTGGAACGGGCTGTGCTGGACATCGTTTTGCGTGAAGTCACAGAACTTCCCGTGGGTGGTAAGCGAAGCCTCGCCGTGTGGGAAGCCAGGCTCTCTCGCAGTCCAGCCCGCCCGTGCAGCCTCTTCCCCCTGTGCCGTGCGAGGCCGGGAAGCCCTTACCCGTTCTCACCTGCACAGTTTCGTTTTCTCTGTTCGGCGGAGCAAGCACAGAACGTTCTGTCACTCTCTCTCGCTGGTGGATGCTGTCAAGAGTTCCTGAAATTCTTCGTCGAGTCAGGAGACTGGTTTATTCCCGAAGGGCATGGGGACACTGTGGTTAGAAACCATCCTCCTTGGACACGTGGCCTTTTCTCAGGACGTTGCAGGCCATCCACAGGATGGAGGGAAGCCAGCACTGGGGGCGCACTGTGCGCCTCCGCAGTCTCTGCACTTGACACCCAGTAGACCTCCCTCTTGGAGGTGGGGGGGGAGGTTCGCAGGTGGAAGGGCGAACCCAGAGGACAGGCTCTTAAACTTTGTTCCATCCACTGGGCTGTGACTGTCGGGACGGTCCACTGACACACGTAAAACCTGTCAGCTGTGCCTTCCTCATTGGAAAAGTGGGATGCATTTGGCAAAACATTTCGCTTGTGTCTGGTGTTAGACTTTTCCTCTAAACAAGCGTGCCTCATCCCTTACCAGGTCTTGCAGAATGAGTTTGTCTGATCTGAGGTCGTCGGGCTTAGTTGATGCTGTGGCTACATCTGGACTTAAATGCGTGAGGTGTTCGCAGCTCACAGGAGCTGATGGAAGCAAGTTGGAGAGAGCAGATGGGCTGCAGAGAGGGGCCTACGTCGTCACCGTCCTTCGGAGCAGCTCTCCCCGCGCGGCGGGCGGGCCGCTCTACAGACCACCTCCGTGTCTGCCTTGTCGGGGCCCTCGGGGGTTCTGCCTTGTCGGGGCCCTCGGGGGTTCTGCCCCGCCGGGATGGCAGGTGTTGCCATTCAGACTCGATGTCATTCATTGTGGTAATTCCATTGTCAGTGGCCCGTGCTTTGGCTGTTGTGGGTAAACACTGAGTACCTCAAATGTTCGGGGTGAGTATTACAAGAATTTTACTTTCTCGTGATTAGGAAAACTTGAATACTCTTTCTACTGTCAGATGTCTCCATATCGGTGGTACATTTAATTCGTTGAAGTAAAAGTTATTTGAAAGTTAACCAGTAGATGCAGGAGGAAAATACAGTAATAAAATGCTAGAAAAGAAATTAAATCTGTGGTGGGGTATTTTCAAGTATTTCGGGGTTCCCCAGCTACCTTTCTGTTACCTACTTGAATTCTATTCTGTTCTGGAACTGTGTGTTTCAGTTATGTTCAGTGTGTTGTGGTTGCTTTATGGCCCGGAGTGGGGTCTGTCTTCGTGAAGGTTTCACGGGAGCGTGGAAGAATGCGGAATCTGCTGCTGGTGGACAAAGTGGTCTGCAAGTGCCAGTTACGTGCGGTTGGTTGGCTGTGCTGTTGAGTTCGACCACGTCCTCGCTGACCTGCTGCCTGCTGGGTCTGTCCGTTCTGACGGAGCAGTGTTGGCATCTCCGCCATGATAGCGGACTCTTGTTTCTCCTCACAGTTCTAGCAATTTCTGCCCCACACGGTGTGATGCTTTCTCATTAGGGGCATACATGCTAAAGACTATTTCATTCCTTGGAAAACGGACTGGTGATGTTGCATGACTCCATTATCCCTGGCGGCTTCCCTTGTTTGGAAGTCCACGGAGCTGCTCTGGCTTCCTTCTGATTGAGATAAGCTTCCAGTCGGCTTGTCCACCCTTAACTTTTAATCTCTCCGTGTCTTTATATTTAAAGTAGGTTTCTTGTAGACAATATAGAGTTGTTTTGTTTTCTTTTATCCACTCTGAGAGTCTGTCTTTTTCTAAAAAGATTTATTTATTTATTTTTTTAGAGAGGGGGTAGGGAGGGAGAGAGGGAGAGAAACATCAATGTGAGAAACATTAATCAGTTGGCTCTCATGCGCCCCCTACTGGGGACCTGGCCTACAACCCAGGCATGTGCCCCGACTGGGAATTGAACTGGCGATATTTGGTTCACAGGCCAGCGCTCAGTCCAGTGAGCCACGCCAGCCAGGGTATGCCTTTTCCACTTTTAACTGAGCATTTTAATCTCTTCTCTTAGCGTGTCACTTATCTCTATTTTTTAAATGTGTAACAATTGGGTTGGAGTATGCGTTTTAACTAATCTAAGTCCCCTTCAGACGGCACTGTGCTGCTTCGTGTGCAGCGTAGGTGCCTGTGACAGGTCACTGCCGACCCCTCCCTCTGTCCCTGGAGATGCGCCCTGGAGTTTCCGCTCACCCGTGGCCACCCCAGTGCACTGCTGCCAGCCCCCCTGGGAACGCAGCCGCCGACTGCACGGGGGACCGGCAGGCAGGCCGGAAGGAGGAGGCTGGGCCTCGCCGCTGCCCTCCCTCTCTTCCCGCAGGCCTCGCCGTCTGCCCCGCGGACCGACTCTGCCAGAGGAAACCTCCAGGCATTGCTGACCCCGCCCACAGGGCAGGCCGGCCTGCTGGCCACGGGCCTGCTGGCCACGGGCCCTCTCGGGTTGCGTCTGTCTGCAGAAGTCTTTACCTCCCCCCACTTTTCAAGGATGATTTCGCCTGGTACGGGGTTCTAGGTTGGTGGGGGTTTTCTTTCAGCCCCCGAATACAGCCGACTTCACTCTTCTCTTCCTCAGCGGTTTCTGGTGGCACGTCCTCCGTGGTTCTTCACCTGGTTTTAAAGAGCAGGGGCACGGCCCTCCCCTGCCCCGGACTGCTTTCAGGGTTTCTTGGTTTTGGTTTTCTTTCTGTTCTGCAGTTTGAACTCGATGTGCCACGGGGTAGCTTGGGGTGTTTGCCCAGTGCGGTGAGCTTCCTGGCTGTGTGGCGTGGTGTCCGTCATTAGTTCCGGAACATCCTCAGCGTTGTTAAATGTTTCTTTCGTCAGTTCTCTCTCTCTCTTCCTGCTGGTGTCCGGTGACCGCATGTTGCATGTTTTAAAGTCGGCCCACAATTCTTGGATGCTTTGTTCTTTTTGGTGCTGGTGGCGGTGGGTTTTTATTATTTCTTTTTGCACTTTCATTGGGAAAGTGTTCTGTTGACATTTCCTCTCGCTCACTGACGCTCTCCTGCCATAGCCAAGTCCACTGCTCAGCTCGTTGGCAGCAGTGTTTCTCTCAGTTTATTTCTGACAGCTCTTTTCACATTACTCACGTGTTCTTACGGGCCACTTACTTTGTCCACTAAAGCCCTTAGCGTGGTGACTGTTTCCAGCTGTCCTGTGCGTCCTGGGTGTCACTGGCTGAGTCCTCTGCTCCCGCAGGAGCCCTCGGCTCCGGGGAGGCATCTGGTCGGGCACGGGGGTGTCAGCGCTCCCGTTTAAAGTGGGAGTTTGCTCCCTTCGAGTCCCTTCGTGTCAGAGGGGAGAGCAGTTCCGAGCCGTGTGTCACGGACGTGGCGTGGATGGCGTCACGTGGACTTGGAGCTCTGAGTCAGCCAGCAGCATCCGTTCCCACAGTGAGGGCTCACCTCATGCTGAAGTCTCTGGCACGCTGCCGAGGCGTGGCCCCGAAATGGTCTGCTTGGCGGGTGCCCGAGTTCCCTGAAGGCAGCCCGGAACCCACGAGGGCAGTCGGTATCTCGTCCGGCCATGGCCTGTCTGTCACGGCCCCGCCCCCTTTGAGGTCGGCCGCTGGGTCTCTTTCTGAGTCCGTTGGCGTCTGAGGAGGCGTGTGAACCGAGTGCAGCTCTCGGCTTGCGTTGGCAGTGCCTCAGTCTCACGGCCACGTGCCCTCGCCCTCCAGGCGGCACTCCGCTCAGCAGTCCCTGGGCACGCGGTGGGCGCCGGGTCCTGCGCCCTGTGCGGGGAGGAGAAAGCCAGCCCGTCCCTGTGCTCAGGACCCTCACAGTCTGAGGCGAAGGCAGAAACATGCTGGATACGCAAACCGGAGCACCGGGACGTCCCTTAGCAGCGATAACGGGCAGAGTGGAGGGCGGCGGCACGGAGGAGACGCCGGCTGTGGGGCGGTGGGCGGCTCCGCCGTGGAGGCCCCGCGGGAGCAGGGTGTGGAAGGGTCACACGAGCCCTCTGGACACTGTGGGCGGTGGTCCGGGCTGTCAGCCAGGCCTTCCCGCGTGTCTGGGGCGGGTGGCACTCGGGAAGTCCCCGAGGTGCTGCAGAGCCCAGCCCGCTGGGCCGGAGGTCGGGGCTGCACTTTTCCCCAGTCAGCCATTGCTGCCCCTTCGAGGACGGTCTTTGAGACTAAGAACCCTCCCGTTTGGTTACTTTCCACCAGTGTCTGCTTGCTCCGCAGCTCTCAGTGTGCCTGCCGTCTGCGGACAGGCGGGCCCTCTCCCTCTCTGCGCTGGGTCCTGGCAGCACAGCCGCCTCAGGCTCCTGCCTTCCCCCAGGCGGCTGGTCCAGACCGGCTTCTTCCCAGTTGCGAGTTCCATGTGCTCACTCCAGCCTCCCTGAGCCCAGGCAAGGTCACCAGGTGCACTGAACGGCCCGAATGGAGTAACTGCACCCTCCACCACTTTTTGGGAGGGCGTCAGGCCCTGAGCACAGGGTGCTCTGTGTGGGGGGGAGGGCTGCGGTGTGGCACTCGCTTACTGGCCAGCGCGCATTGTCTGATTGGATTCCTGCCACAGCCCCCGAGGTGGGTATTTCTGCGTTCTAGACAAAGAAACTGCAGCTCAGAAAGAGTGGGTGATTTGCCTGAGGTCACACAGCTGGTAGAAGGGAAAACCGACGTCTGAACCCCAAAGGCTGAGAATGGGACCAGAGTGCGTGTCCAGCTCCGTCACTGACCACCTGCCAGGGAGGAGCCACAGACAGCCCTTCCCGGCTTGGCATCCAGTTGGGCTGTGGCCCCGAGAGCTCCGACCTCCTGTCCTGCACATGCACATCGTCACCGTTTCTTACCCCCACATGCACGGCCTTAGGTGCCATCTTTTACCCCACAGCTCATCCACCACCCTGCCCAGGGTTGACCTTTGTACTCACCCAGCCAGGTCACCTCGCCTGTGCTACGACCCTCTGCAGCACCCAGCCCTCAGCACAGAAGTTGTACAAAGTCGTCCGTCATTTGGCCCCTGCAGCCCAGCAGCCTAGGACACAGTTGTCCGTGGTCATGGACCATCTCTGTGCCCAGTCCCCCTTGTCTTCCCCACCCCTTGCTTCAGCCAGCCCCCCAGGGTTCTGCCAAACCCTTGCCTGCTCTTGGCGGCTCTCCCGAAGCCCTGCCCCATGAGCGCACAGCATTCGTCGTTCGCCTGTGTTGCAGAAGGTGGCACAGCCAGGTGCGATTCTGCACACCAGGCTTGTGGCCCCTAGGGGGCCTGTACCTGGGCAGGGCAGTGGTGGGAATCCCAGTGGCCCACTCCCTCATGAAGCTTACAGAATTTGGGGGCGTTCATTGGATCAGTGGGTAGCTGTAAGTGCGGTAAGTGCCAGGAGGGGAGAGGGTGGCTCTCTCGTGTTTGAGGGAAGGTCCATGTCTTGGCGTGGGTGTTGGGTGGCAAGGACAAAGTCAGTGATGGCTTTTCCGAGGAGGAGGCATTTGGACCTAAAAGGTGAGCCTCAGTCAGTGGGGTCCCGAGCTGCGGTCAGCACCCACTAGAACGCACTCAGCAGGAGTGAATTTCCAGGCGGGGGAGGAGCTAGGGGTTCAAGGACGGAAGGAAGCCAGTATGGGCAGGTGCTTGGCAAGCAGGCAGGACAGGGCCTGGCCCTGGATTCGAGTCCCCACGGTGCGGATGGAGGCTGGGCAGCGGGCAGGACGGAAGGATGCTCGGCTCCCTCCCTTTGACAAGGGCCTTGCCGGGGGGCTTCCAGCAGCACGCAACGCCTGGTTCTTCCCAGAGGTCTGCCCTCTGCTCCTACGAGAGAGTACCGCTTAGGAGTTTTGCCATTTTTTGTTAGGTTTCAAAGTTGACTTTTTAGCAGTGATCATTCAAATGTCAAGTTTAAAATGGGACTAGGGCCCTGGCTGGCATGGCTCCGTGGATTGAGCGCAGCCTGTGAACCAAAGGGTCACTGGTTCAACTCCCAGTCAGGGCACATGCCTGGGTTGCAGGCCAGTTCCCAGCAGGGGACGCACAAGAGGCAACTACACATTGATGTTTCTCTCCCTCTCTCCATCTCTTTCCCTCTGTTTAAAAGTAAATAAATAAAATCTTTTAATAAATAAGCAAATAAATAAACTAAATGGGGCTGGGGAATCATGCTGACGGTCACTGAGCGTCAGGGCTGTGTGTTGAGGTCCTTGAGGTGTTGGATGCTGGCACTGTCTCCGTCCGGGTCGAGTCTGCGGGTGAGCCCTGTCCCACCAGGGCACGGCTCACGGCAGGCCGCCCCTCAGGGTTTCCAGGAGTGCCTTGTCTGTCTGTAGCTTAACTGCACAGGGAAATAGAATATTACTTTTGATATGTAATTAGAACTTCTTTTTTGTAGGCTTTACCACCAGCACCTGTTCAGAATCACACAAATAAGCATCAGGTATTCAATGCATCTCTTCAAGACCATATTTACCCGAGCTGTTTTGGGACTACTCCAGAGTGGAATAGTTCTAAGTTTATAAGTCTTTGGGGATCAGAAGTGATGAATGATAAGAACTGGAGTCCTGGCACTTTCTTGCCAGATACAATTTCTGGTAAGGAACCTGTTAAAACTTTATTCAAGTTTTGCAATGATCCGAGTGGAGCAGATGGCCTCCTTTGGCTGTGGTCTCCCGTGGAAGCCCCAGAGGGGCGGGGCCCTGGTGCAGCTGTGCCCAGGCTGCTTGCTCCCCTGCCTCTGTTTCCTGAGGGCGGCCCTCGGGCCTGTCCTGCTGCCCCAACCCTCCACATGGGTCCCAGCCTCTAGTGGGCAGGGTTCCGGGGCTGCTAGCCGGCACAGCAGGCCACACAGTGGCCAACTCTGGGTCTCTGCTGCCCCAGTGCTGCTCAGCGTCTCGTGTCCAGAGCTTGGTGTCTGGCCTGTGGTTTTCAAGCATTGGTGACAGCCAGACCTCAACCCAGGGCACGCACGGGCGAGGCCACAGGGCCACAGTCAGCTGGCCGTCCTCCCCTCTGCTTCTGCATTGACCCTCCCTGTGGTCTGTCCTGCTGACAAGCCCATCCTCCTGACTGTGGAGGTGCAGCTGTTACCTCAGCAGCCAGGCCCCTAAGGGAGGCCGGTCCCTTTGCCTCCTGTCTGTCGTCACATGGCTAGAGCCCCTGGCGGCCCTATGCCCAGCCCCTGCATGTGGTCAGAACAGCAAGCTAGACTGGACACCTGGTCTGTGCCTGGAAAGGGTTTCTAGCTGTGCGACCTTGGGCAAGTTGCTTAGCCTCTCTGAGTCTGAGTTTCTTCATCTTCAGGATGGGAGTAATAGCACCAAGCTCAGAGAGTAGTTGTAAGGCACTAAATAACTCTTGGAAAGCACCCAGCACAGGCACTGGCACACGGTGGGTGCTCAGGAGGTTGTCCTCACGTAAACAGTAGTGGAGCAGGCCCTCCCAGCAGGGCCCTCACTCCAAGCAGCCCCCCGAGTTAAGGGCTTAACCTTCAGACTCCCGTTAGGTTAGAGCTGTATAGTGTTTCTCGTGAAAGCCTAACGTCCCCTTTCTTCTCTTGAGGGAGTGACATACTCGGGCCGACGCTCTCAGAAACGAGACCAGACGCCCTCCCACCGCCATCGAGCAATGGAACGCCTGCGGTGTTGGACTGTAAAGAGAAAAAAATTGTTGCAAAAAAGAAATGTCTGTACAATTTCCAAGATGCTTTCATGGAGGCGAACAAAGTGGTGATGGCCACATCGTCAGCCACCTCCTCCGTGTCCTGCACGGCCACCACGGTGCAGTCGAGCAGCAGCCAGTTCAAAGTGTCGTCCAAGAGGCCTCCCTCCCTAGGTGAGGCGCTGCTGCTGGGCCCTTGGGCGGGCGGTGTAACAATTCCCAGTGTTCACGCCCAAGACAGTGCCGCTGTCCCAGGAACGTCCGCTGGGGCTCCGCCTCGCAGGTGTTGCCTTTTGCCTCTGCACCTGCGGGTGTGAGCAAGAGGCCGGTCGCTAGGCACCTGAAAGCAGCGTCTGGGGGGTGGCCCGCGGGCGCCGCCGGACTCTGGCCTCTGAGCGGCACCGAGAGCCTGGCAGCAGGAGCATTAACGGCCGGTGGGTGACATCAGGGGACTTGGGAGCTGGCTCGTGGGGGTCCCGCAGCGCAGAGGGACAGTTTGGAGCACACAACCGAAGTCAGAAGTCTGGGTGCTCGGTGGGGGGTGGGGGACCTTCCTGATGGCGAGAAGCTCTCTGTCGCCCGCCACGTGAGCAGAGCGACAGAAGCAGGAAGCCTCCTGAGCCAGCAGGCTGGTGGCCGTCCAGGTGCGCGCACGCAGTGAGTGCTGAGGGCCACGGAGTCGGCGTGGGGGAGGCAGGTCCCCTGTGTGTGGGAGCAACACCCACGGGTGATTGGCAGGCCGCTCCCTGCACACCTGGCCGGGTGTCACTGTGCCACTGCAGAGCAAGCCGACGTTGGGTGCCTCCTGGGCCCCAGGTAGAAAGGGTGCAGCAGGACTTGGGTAGCACCGATGCCCGGGCACTTCAGCTCGGCCTGTGTGTGACTGGAGATCCAGGTTGGTGGGCAGCTGGCTTGTCCCTGCAGGCGTCAGTGTGGTGGGGGGTGGGGGGGTAGAGAGGCCAGGCCGAGGGCTGTAGAGATGGTGTGGGGAGGCGGACGCCTGAGTGGGGCCGACCGTGCGTGAGGACGTCCTTTCGGTGGTGGGCGTCCGCTGTGCCACGTGCCAGCGCTCGGGAGCTGCTGCCACAGTGTTTGTAGGGGTGCACGTGAGAGATGAAGTGCTCGGGGCAGGACGTTAGCGGTGAGGGGTCCGGGGGGAGGCACTGGGTGTTCTTTGTGCCGTTTCCTCCTATTTTCTATGATTTGAACATTTTTAGACAAAAAAAAAATTGGTGAAAAGTCTTAATTAGGAGCACGCGTGTGCGTGGGGCTCAGCTCTCAGTCTGACCCGTCTCCCACGCAGGCGAGGTCTTCCACGGCATCAGCAAGGAGGAGCACAGGCACGCCGTGCCCGCCGCCCCGAGGAGCAGCCCCACGGGCCTGGCACCGCTCCCCACGCTCACCCCCGCCGCCCTCTCTCCAGCCTCCACGCCTCACCTGGGGAACCTCGCAGCCCCCACCTTCCCCAAAACTGCGGCCCCTTCCCCAGGGTTTGGGGATTCCCGCAAGAGCTTCTGTCCTGCTTCAGTGGCAGCCCCGCCCCCCACCACGGATGGCTCCATCAGTGCACCTCCAAGTGTCTGCAGGTGAGCCCAGGTCCTGGAGGAGAAGGCCAGGGCGTTTTGGAAGTGGGGTGCCCTGCCCCCCTAACACCAGGGCGCAGCAGCTGTAGGAACCCTGTCCCCAGTGTCATGGGGCCTGACAGCCAGTGAGGTGGGTGGGGCGGGGGTGCCTGTCAGAGGCTGAGGTCTGGGCGGAGCCGGGCACCAACCCCCACTGGTGTGTAGGCCCCGCCCAACCCTGACAGCACGGGGTGGGCCCTGGGGGGGGTTAAGTTGTATCTGTTGCACATTTAATGAAGTACAACAGCACAACCTATCACTCGACAGTTTTTTTTTAAGACAGTATTTGTTACCTTTGAACTTGCCTGTTTGAAGCCATCCCCCCCACCCCAGGATGAAGTGGTAGCGAGGGACAGTGGAGAGACTGTGTGCCGACGAGGCCCTCTAGGTGTGACTGCCCGCCACACGTACTGCCTCACCCAGTCACCCCCGCCTTCCCTGACTCTGAGCCCCGTGTCCCTGTGGGCCGAGTGCCTGCTGCCTTGCTCTCATTGACCGGAGGGGCGGAGCCCCGCAGGGGCGCTGCACACTGACAGGCCTGTGTGCGGTTTCGCAGTGACCCCGACTGCGAAGGGCACCGCTGCGAGAACGGCGTCTACGACCCGCAGCAGGACGACGGGGACGAGAGTGCCGACGAGGACAGCTGCTCGGAGCACAGCTCCAGCACCTCCACCTCCACCAACCAGAAGGAGGGCAAGTACTGTGACTGCTGCTACTGTGAATTCTTCGGGCACGGAGGGGTGAGTGCTCGGCCGCCCGTCCCTTTGCATCCGCGGACCGTCCTGGGGTGGGCAGGCTGGAAGGCCAGGGCATTCGGGGTGAGGTTTGTTGTATGGAAACTTCACTCACAGCCCAGCTCACGCCAAGGTCTGGTTGGAAAAAACACTTCCACTTCCAGGTTGTCTGTACCCTGGGGGCGTAATGAAAAAATCTGCTCAAAGATGTGGCTATAAGGGTTTCAGTGCCACCTTGGTGCACGTGGGTTTCGAAGTAGTTGATGGGGTGGGGGCCGGGCTGCGGGCGGTGGAGGCCAGACAGGTGACCACCACACGGGGACACTGGCAGTGTGAGCACGGCCGGCTGCCGCTGCTCTGCACACTGAGGGCCCTGGCGCAGGGGCCTCACACGCCTTGCAGAACAGCCACTGGTCTCCCCAGGAGACGCCGGTCCAGGTGCTGGGTGGCCGTGGGAAAAGCGGGCTGTTCTTCCGTCAGCACAGCCCTGCCCGAGTCCCCCGCACTGTGCACCTGTGTGCAGTGGCCACTCGGGGTCTGGTGGGGGGTCGGGAGGCCGTCTCCTTTGCGGCACCAGAGAGAAGGCTGCGGACGGGTAAAGGGTGTGCGGACTCGCTCACCGACAGGGAGAGACCAGCGCACTGCACCGCGTGGGGAGCAGATTGGTCAGCGTCTGCAGCTGTTTCTTTTCCGTTTAAAAACGTTTATTTTTGTACATAATTACATATGCTTTTCCAGCTGTTTCATGAATGTATACGTTTTCTTACTTGCCAGTTGTTTCTTTTATTTTCTTATTTTTTGTGGTGAGCATGTATTTGAGTAATAAGAAAAATGTATTTTTAGAAATAGTCTGAAGTTTATGTTCAGTGTCATTAAAACTTGAAGCTTAATTTAGTCATGTTCTCTTTTAATTATCTCAGCCCCCAGCTGCACCCACAAGCAGAAATTATGCAGAAATGAGGGAAAAGCTTCGCTTACGGCTGACGAAGAGGAAGGAGGAGCAGCCGAAGAAGGCCGGCCAGCTGTCAGAGCGTGAGAGCGTGGTGGACCACCGCCGGGTGGAGGACCTGCTACGCTTCATCAACAGCTCCGAGGCCAAGCCCGCCAGCAGCTCGCGAGCCGCCAAGCGGGCGCGCCACAAGCAGAGAAAGGTAGCCTGAGCCTGCGTCTGCACCTGCCTTTGCGTCTGTGCAGTCGGGGCCCCGGGGCCGGGGCTCCTGCACTGGCCTCTCCCATCCGTGGGCCCACAGGCCTTCAGGCAGCCGTGCTGGCCAGTGTGGGCTGCAGAGCCCCCGCCTCTGTGCCCAGGGAGGCCGAGGGCAAGGGCGCTGGCAGTGGGCCTTTGGAGATGGTGGTGGAGTGACTGCGACAGAAGGCAGGGACAGGGCCTGTGGCACGGCAGTGGCCCCAGCTCCTGTCTCACCCCACAGCCAGGCCATCTGGGTGGCAGAGGGCCAGCACGCAGCACGGGTATGGAGGACGGCAGAGGAGAGGACGGGCATTGTGGACAGTACTGGGTGGTTCCCACCTCCGCACAGGGCTGGGATGTCACAAAAGCACGTTTGCCCCATCAAGGGCTGTGACAGGACTTGATCTGTGGCCCAGCGAGTGAGCAGAGCACCCCGAGACCGCAGCCAACCGACAGACTGTGTCCTTCCCTGCACGCGCACGCTGGAAGTGACGGGAGCAGCATCTGCTCTGGGAGCGACCCCGTGCTTCTCCTGGGGGTTTCCCACAGAGCCCTGTGCCTCCGCATCAGGTCCAGACACCTTCCGGGGTGCGGCCACCTCGGGGTGTCCGCTTCAGAGCCAGCCCTCAGCAGGCAGATCTGGTCAGCAGGGGGAGCTTGGAGCCTTGGAGGGCTCTGGCCTGCTGGGGAGGGCAGCCCCCCCCCGGTGCCTGCAGTGTGGCTGCACGGTGGCAGGGCTGGTTCTCAGCGAGTCGTGGTTGCTCTGTTCAGTGGCATGCCCGTCCAGACCGTGTCGGTGCCAGTCCTGAAACAGGGCTGTACTGGCTCTCGGGGCTGATGAGGGACTTTGGGGGAGACCTCTTCTGCCCCCCAGAAGACCTGGTTTACAGAGCCCCACAGGGCGCGGAGAAGGAGGTACACTCTCCATCCAGAGGTGTTAGCAGCATCAGGGGCCCCAGGGTGGTCCCCAGGCTTGGAGATGTCCCCATGGAGTCATTAGAAGCCCCTGGATTGGCTTGGGTGCTTTCCAGGGCACTCACCGCCCTGGTCTCCTGGCCTCTGTCCTTGTGAGCCGGTCTGGGTTCAGACTTGATGCCACAGCCCCTCAGGCTCACCACAGTCCCCCTCAGCATCCATGCACGCCCTGTGCTCGACACGAAGACAGTGCTGAGCGCGTGGGGATCCCACCCTCGGGTGGGTCTGCCCTCAGCCCTGAGTGGCGGGGGCCGCCTGCCGGCGTGGCACAGTGCGCCCCGGCTGCCACGGAGGCCTCTCTTTAATGGATGCAGCACGGGCTTCTGAGAGCTTCCACTGGCGTTGTGAGATTCGTTTCTGAAAACCTCTCTTTACATTTTTGACATAATTTTGTACTTAATTTTTTTAAAAACAAACAAACAAGTAATTGTGTCTTAAAAATAACACTGAAATATTGCGAAAGCTCACGTGACGGTGGAAGGACCTTTACGTTTCCCATACAGACTGGTTTTGCCAGTGTCTGCAGGTGCCAGCCCCCGGCCGGTCAGCGACAGGAGGGTCCAGGCCCCACTCTGTGGGACTTCGGCTTGTTTTCTAAACAGAAGGAGCAGCCTCACCCACACCCCTGGGGTGGGGGTCCCTAAAGAGCGCTCATTTCCTGCCACTTGCACGGCAGGACTGGTCTCGGTCTCTCTCTGCCCCGTAGCGTTGAGGAAAGTCTGGAGGCAGCAGGTCGCGGTGTTGCTGATCTGCCAGGGAGGTGGAGGGGCCTCACGTGTTCTGGTGCACGTTTCTCCGTGTCCTGTTCACACACGGGAACGCCTCTGCCTGCGCCTGGGGAGGTGCACGCAGGGCCCGGCAGCCTGCTGTCGGCTCTGTGGAGCCCACCGCGGGGCACGGGGGCAGCCACGTCCACCTCGTGTCGTGTGCGTGGCACTAGGTCGGTAGCCGTGAGTAGTTTATCCATCCCTTCCCCAAATAAAGTATGTGTGTAAAATACTTGGGACACATGTTTCGATGAGAGCCTTTTGCTTACGTACCCTTTCAGGGCTCGTGTTCCCATTTCATGGCCCATTTAAGAAGTTTCCTCACGTGCGTTCGTTTTTGGAGTGCTTGCTGTTGTCTGAGCCGCCCTCCCCTCTCTCCCGGCAGCTGGAGGAGAAGGCGCGCCTCGAGGCGGAGGCCCGGGCCCGGGAGCACGTGCACGCCCACGAGGAGCAGCGGCAGGGGCAGGAGCAGGACGCCCGGCTCACGGTGGAGCTGCGGCGGCTGCAGGAGCTGCAGAAGCTCCGCTCCGTGAAGAAGAAGAAGAAGGAGAGGCCAGCGAAAGACTGCCCCAAGCTGGACGTGCTGGCGGGGACTTTGCAGGCAGCAGCAGAGCCGGGGCCTGACCCCGTGCACATGCACAACGGCTCCCTGGAGCCGCCCGAGGAGCCGGAGACCTCCCCTCCCTCCCCGTCCACACACGCCGACCACACAGAGCCCGGGCTGGGGCCGGACGGGCACTCGGCAGACCCCAGGGACTGCACGCTTCTCCTGCCCGAGGGGGTCAGTGGGAAGCAGCAGGAGCCACTGTCCTTTCTCCTGGACATCATGCGTCACCACAAGGCGGGGACCGGCAAACAGAAGCCGAAACAGGCTGGGAAGGCTGGCAGCGATCCTGGCGGGAGGCCCCCAGAGGCCCCCAGGCCCTCTGAGGGCCAGTCCAGACCTCGGCCCCAGACCGAGCCAAAGGCTAAAGTGCTGGACCTCAGCCCCCTGATGGAGCCGAAGAGAGAGGAGAGGAAAGCCAACAGCAACAACAATAACAAGAAGCAGTTGAACCACGTCAAGGAGGGGAAGGCAAGCCCCGGCCCCACAGAGCCCGCCTGTGCCGGCGAGCACTCGCCCAGCAGCAAGCTGGTGCTGGCCGACCCCCCCCAGCCCAGGGGCAAGAGCAAGAAGAGCCGGAAGAAGAAGGGAGACAGAGCCAGCAGCTCTCTTGGTAAATGGGACGGGCGTCTGCGTGGCGGGGCCTGTGCTTCTGAGTCGGTAGTGAGAGGAGCCACGCCTGCAGACGGCGTGCCCTTCGCCAGCACGAGGGACAAAGAGCCATTGTGGTCCCATTGTGTCATTTTGAAATAGTTCCGAGTTTCCCTGAAAGCTGCAGAGAGTGCACAGAATTCCTGCGGCTCGTTCCCCGAACCAGCCTCTTCCGCCAGGGCCGTCGCTCTTCCACTTTCCTGAACCTGGTGGGAGTTGATTCCACCATGAGGCCCCTCTGCCCCGAAACCCTGCTGGTGTGTCTGTCTCCTCCAGACGAGGCTCCTCTGGCAGGGCCGCGCACAGTCGGCCGAACCCTTGGAGGAGCACTGATGGCCCGTGCACCCCGGGTTTGCAGCCAGGCTCAGGTCTGTGCGGGAGGCGGCACCGAGGCCGTGCGGGCCCTGGTCCTCCCATCCGCTGCTGGCACTGCCCTTGGGCCAAGGTGGTGGCCACCGCTCGGTCCCTCCCCACTGTCCAGGCAGCATCTGCGTGTCCCATGGGCAGACACAATCCTGTCTTTAAAGTTTATATTTACTTTTTTTATCTTTTCTTTACCACGCACCCCCAGTGTTGGTGTCCGCTGACGTTTCCTGCTCAACACGTCTGTCACTGCTTCGTTCCCAGACGGCGCCCCTCTCGCACACTTCCTGCTGTGTTTCTGACGTGGCCCCCTGTGGGAGGAGTCGTCCTGCCCCGTGTTCCTTTCACGCACGGGGTCATTTCTGTGAGGGGGCCCTAGGGTGCTGCGCTGCGCCGCGCTCCTTTGCCAGCGCTGCTGACTCGGAGCACCCTGCTGGCCCGGACTCTGTCTCCGGCCCCTCGGCCTGGTTTCTGACCTTGTTCATGGGTCCCCTTCCCACCTTCTGGCACAGTTAGCCGTCCCAGGCTCTTTGCAGTGTCTCCATCCCAGCCGCTGGTCAGCCATTTCTCCCAGGAGCCCTGGTCCGTGTCAGTGGAGGGGCCCTGGGAAAGCAGGGCTGGGTGTGCCTGCTTCTGTGCCGCGTTCCCAGGGGAAGAGCTGAGCCGCACTGACAGCGTGGGCTCCCGGGCTCCCGCTGCGTCTGCAGCTCCTGCCAGACCCTCCGTCCTTTCGGTCGCCCCGCCCAGCTGCGTGGATGGGAGGCTGGCTCCAGGGCGCGTTCCAAGTCCCTTCTGCAGCCGGCGGCCCATGGTGGCCAGTGTGCGAGTTCGCAGGATCGCGGACGGGTTGGTGCTTGAGGAAGCACAGAGGTTCTTACCTCTCTGTCTGTGCTCGTTTCTCCGCCACGGCCCGGTGTTCCCACCCTGCTCCATTTACTGTGCACACAGGTTTCCCCTTTGCTTCCCCTTCTTGCACCAAAGCTAGCATACTAGGGTGCTCCTTTCCCCTCTGCTCCTCCTGCTCACAGTATTCTGGAAGTTACTTGGTGTCAGGTCATAGGGCTGGTCCTCTTGGTTCTTCAGGGTGTGGCTCTGCATCTAAAATATGACCCACCGCCTTGGCAGGTGTGGCTCCGTTAGTTATGACATTGTCCCGTAGAGAGGCTGCAGGCTCCACTCCCGGTCATGGCACACACCCAGGTTACAGGTTTGATCTGCGGTCAGGGTGCGTGTGAGAAGGGAACCGATTTAGTGACTCTCCCTCTCTCTCTCTCCCTTCCCCTTTCCTGTTTAAAAATCATTTCCTTTCAGGGAGAGGGGAAAGGAGGGAGAAAAAGAGGGAAAGAAACATCTGTGTGAGAGAGATACATCTGTCATTTGCCTCTCGCATGCCCCCAGCCAGAGACCCAGCCCACAGCCCGAGCATGTGCCCTGGCTGGTGTGACTCAGTGGATTGAGTGCTGACCTGGGAACCAAAGAGTCGCCAGTTCCACTCCCAGTCAGGGTGTCCGCCTAGGTTGTGGGCCCGGTCCCCAGTAGGGGGCGTGTGAAGGCAACCACACATTGATGTTTCTCTCCCTATCTCTCTCCTTTCCCTTCTCTCTAAAAATAAACAAATAAAATCTTCTTTTTAGGAAAAAAGCAACCTTTGCATTCGCAGGCCAGTGCTCAGTCCGCTGAGCCACACCATTCAGGCCACCCCACTTCCGCGCTCCCTAATGTAAGCAATGAAAGAAGTGTCCTCAGGTGAGGATAAAAACATCTGATGTGCTCGCCGCTCCTGTGCACCCAAATGGTGCTGCCGGCCATGGCTGTGCCCGGGTTTCCTGTTCGTGGGGGCTCTTCCGGGGGTTTCCCCAGAAGAGGGCGCGCCGGGTCAGCAGGTGGTGGAGGCCGTGTTTTCTTAGGTTCCCCAGCTTCTCCAGACCCTCCTGGGGGGCCCCGCGTGCCTGCTCTCACCTTAGGCTTTGCAGCTCGAGCCCATTAGGTGAGACCTGTTCACAGTGCAGTTTTTGTTTAAATTTTTCTGAGTACAACGAGGTCATATTTTTAGTACTCTTTATGTGTGAATTTTTAAATTCTTGTTATTGTTCACTGTTTTTTACTTTTACCTCCATTTAAAAATTGTTCACTTATTTTTAGAGAGAGTGTAATGAAGAGAAGAGAAACATCAGTGTATGGGTGCCTCTCGTGTGTCCCCCACTGGGGACCTGGCCCACAACCCAGGCATGTGTCCCAGCTGGGAATCAAACCGGCGACCCCTCAGTTCGCAGGCCAGTGCTCAGTCCACTGAGCCACACCAGCCGGGGCTTTCCTCCATTTCTAGGAGTCTGTGGCGGCAGGACCGTTGGCCTTTTAACTGCATTGCGTGCTGCATGCCTCCCGGTCGAGGGCTGGCTGTGAACCGCGCTGCTGCTGCTACGTGGGCAAGGCTGTCCTCGTTTTCACTTGCACGTAGTCAGCCTGCTGGTCCGTTACTGCCTCCAGACTTTACCCAGTTGTGCGAACGTGTCCCTCTAACCGAAGAGTAGAGAGGGATGTGCCACATCCTCTCCTGGCATTGGGCGGCTTGCTTTCTGCCTTCAACTCCCTGACCGTGTGGAGTTGGCTCTGGGTGGCACACTTGAGGCTCGGCTCCAGTGCCAGCTCTTCCAGGAGGTCACCTAGGTGTCCCCACACCGCCCTGGGAAAGCTCATCTTGCCTTAGGGACTCGGGTGCCACCTCCATGCTTCACAAAAGTGCCGTGTGTGGGTGTGTGGCACAGGAGCCCCAGCCCAGGGTGCTGCTCGAGTGTTCGTGGTACTCCAACAAACCACCCCGCGGGCCAGCCCACGTGGACCTGCCCTTCGTTACTCACACTGCGGGGAGTGCACCAGTGGTAGGCCGGTGCCCCCTCCAGTCAGAGGCTCTGGGGTCCCAGACCAAGGGACCTGCACGTGATCTGAACTGTGTCCCCTCACTGTGTGCCTGCAGGAGGGAAAGATCAAGAAGCAGTCACAGAACAGGAGGCCACTCCCAAAAGGAGATGAGGAGGGAGTTAACAATTCCCAAAACAATACATGTTTCTTTTGGCCAGGGCCCCCCCCACCTGCCGCCCATCCCTGCCATGGGGGCCGGGGAAGGGGGAGCCCACATGCAGTGGCCACACAGGTCCATTCTGAAAGTCCTGTGTCCCCTGCTGTTGAGTCACCTGCTGTCACTGTGCTCACTGTTTTAGAGGCTCCGTCAGAGTTGGCAGCTCATGGGGCCGTTGCCTCCTCACAGTGTTCGTTTTCAGTGTGGGCTCGGTGGCACCTTCCCTGGGATGCTTTTGAATCCGTGAGCCGATAGGGGTCTTCCGAGCGTTGACTGTCCTTCCCGAGGACAGGAGGCGCCCTTCCAGTTGCTCAGGACCCCCGTGCAGACGCTCTTCTAGGGCTGGCTTCAGCCTCGTCTCGCAGGCTTTTTCGTTCTCCTCCTCGAGCTCATTTCGGAGCACTGGGCCTCCCTTGTTTCTGAGTGCGCTGGGGGGTCCGCTGCCGTCAGGTCCCCAGCGGCACTGCCTGCCCTGCGCCGTCGCCTCCAGTCCTGTGTCCCCGCTGTGCACTTGGAGTGCAGCCAGTTCCAGTCCAGGGGGTGTGAGTGTGACACCCACACTGGATTGGGAGCACCTCGTGTGGAAAAGGAACACGCGGTACCTGCGTGTAACGTTTAACGCAGAATATACACGGAAACCATGGTTTGGGAGGTGTGTTTAACTAAGTCAAGAGTGTGTTGCTGAAACCAACCATCCCTGCTGCTTCCATCGTTCCCGTGTGGCCCTGGGAGCCCAGGAGGCTCACGCTGTGTTTCCACGGGCCGGAGGAAGCTCCGTCTGGGACCTGCTCGTGCTGTTTCTTTTTCTCTGTGAAGTGTTTTCTTTGCTCTTCGGTTTCAGAAACCTTCAGTATCTGGTGTCTTGTCCCAGGGCCCAGGCTGGCTTCCCCGAGCTCCCCGTGGCACCCGCTGCCCTTGTGGCCTGGGCCAGTGGCCGCGCCCATCCTCCTCTGCCCCTTCTCTCCCTGCTGTCGGGGCCCGGGTCTGCAGTCAGCACGCTGGCAGGGTGGGGCTGCTGGGCGGCTGTCCTCGGGCAGAGCGCAGGCCTGGAGTCCCGGGAGCTCTGGCCAGGGCAGCCCTTTCCTGTGGCCTCGGCAGCGGAGGGCCAGCTGGCACAACGCTTGCTGATTGCGTGTATCGTCCACTTGGGCCAATGTGGCTTAGTTGTTTCCCTGGTGCAGAGTCTGGTTGGAGTGCCGGCTCGGGTCTGGGTCCGGGTCCGGGTCAGGCTGTCAGTCCGGCTGTCTTTCTAGCTTGTCAGAAAGAGGGACACGAGAGCGCTGTGGTGTCGCGGCGTTTCTTGCAGACCTGCCTGCCGCCCGGGGCTCACGCTGTAGCCGAAGCTCCTCGGCATAGGCTCACATGCAGCGACTGCAGGCGTGCTGTGGGGGCCTCCCTTACACCCACACGCCCCCCGTTACCCCTGTCGGCCTCAGTCTGCAGGCACCAGGCAAGGCCCTGCGCAGCAATCCTGGTGGCCAGCGAGGAGGAATGGGCCGCAGGAGCAGGGTAGCTGCGCTGGGTGTGTGCTGCGCAGTCATGAGGATCCGTGTGGCCTGGGTCCAGGTGGGAGCTTGGGCTGCGGGGTGGCACCAGAGCAGTAGCAGTGGGATGACGGGTAGGGGTCCTGAAGAGCTTGGCAGAACTTGCCGGCAGCCCGGAAGGGGTGACGTGAGTGTGAGGAAGGGCAGTGGGGAGGGTCGTTTCCAGGTCACTGTGAGGAAGGGAGCCAGCTTGGCAGCAAGTCAGGAGGGGACCGTGAACCTGTGTTAGGGGGTCATGATGTGGGTGTGCGGAGGAGGCAGCTGTGTGGGCGGAGCTCAGGAAGGAGGTCCTAGGCCGGGCTGGGGGTTTGGTGGTATAGTATCCAGGAGTGGTAGAGAGGACAGACCCCTGGTGGGGGCGAAGGGCGGGAGCGCTGTCCTGTGTGAGGGGCTGTGGCCCTGTGGCCGTGCCATGCCTCAGGGGAGGCGCCCAGGTGCTGAAGGCTCTCCTCCTGGGGCTGTGTCCTCAGAAGTGTCAGCTGCTCCTGTATCACGAACTGTGCCCTGATGCTGCTGCTGTGGAGACCCCCAGTGGTAGGAAGAGAGAGTTGCGTTTACTAACGACTCCGACCAAGGCCCCCACCTGGAGGGTTGTAGAGCGAGAGCCCTGACTCCCGGCTGGAGCGGCCTGCAGAGCCCTCGGTGACACCTCCGGGTGCTGGGCACGCAGGTCAGCCGCCGGGGGGCCGTCTGCTCCACTGCGCTCCAGGTCCTGTGGCGATCCTGTCCTCCGACTGTGAGGGACACTGGAAGGGACAGCACTGTCCGTCCCACGGGGGCGGCCTTCTGGTGGCGGCTGCTGAGAGCTGTGCACTGCCCTCTCCCTCCAGCAAGGACAGGGCACGGCCTCTGGGCCTGCGGCAGCGCAGGTTTCGGAGCTTCCCGGGCCCCTCCCATCACCGAGCCCTGTCCGCTGCTGACAGCTCCCGTCCGGGTCGGGTGCCGGCAAAGTTCAGTGTGTGAAGCTGTTGCAGTGAGATCCATTTGGATTTCTACTCTGTTAGAAGGGCCTGCTTTGATCATCTGATGGGCCTTTCTCTGTTCACTTCACAGACGATGTTTTTCTGCCCAAGGACATCGACCTGGACAGCGTGGACATGGATGAGACGGAGCGGGAAGTGGAGCACTTCAAAAGGTCAGCACTGGGTCGGCGCCATGTCGAGGTGCAGTGCTCATGGGGTCCCCACAAACAGGGCTCCTCTGTGGGTCTGGCAGTGGTGGCTCGGGCAGCAGCTCTGCAGCTGGACAGACCGCCTGGCACGCAGGGGCCATCTACACCCCCTACACACGCTAACCTCCCCACCCTCGCTCTGGCTTTCCCCTCCCCTCCCCATCCCCCGCACATGCGACGGCTGGTGGGCACAGCAGTCCTTGGAGTGGTCCTGGCCCTGCAGCACAGCCTGGGCTGTCCGCGGCTCCCAGACCTGCTGAGTGAGACCCCGGGGGGGGGCCCTGAATCTGTTCTCAGGACCCCCAGGTGGTCAGATGTGTGCTGGCGTCGGGACACGGCATGCTTTGAAGGAGGAAAGTACCGTGTTCGGTAACACTCTGTCTCTTCTGTGAAGTAGGGCAAAGAACTTGTACTTTAAACTCCTCGTTCTTTCTCTGGAAGCACTTTCAGCTCTTTGTTTCAGACACACACGAAAGGAGGAGGTCGTGTGCAGCGTGGGTGGTCGCCGCCTCTCAGTCTGAAACACTGTGAAGCTCTGCTTCGGGAACCTGTATTCATTGTGCGGGGTGTGTGTGTGCGCGCTTTTATCTTAGCAGGTGCAGTCAGTGTTCGCCAACGTTAAATATCTACTCGTAATAAACCTGACTAAGGCTTGAAGGACACATTCTTAATGCAGTAACAGGTATCAGTAAAACACAGTGACTGTCACATCCAGTGGCAACAACACATTAAAAGCTGCTCCTTGAGATTAAAACATAGATAAGTGTCCATATCAAACTTCTATTTGTAAAAGCATAAACAGAAACAAAAGGGAAGGAAGAAAGGGGTCCTCATTCGCAGACGGCACTGCTGTGTGCAAAATGCAAAAGGATCTACAGGCAAGTCACTCAGATTGTTAAAAGACAGCCGTCCCTGGATTCTGGGGAGAAGGGGACGACAGGGGTGTTCTGTGGGTGTGAGCAGCATTTTGGAGTTTAAATCGTGCACGACCTCATCTACAAAGAGTATCAAACACCCAATACTTGGGGGAAACAATGAAATATCTAGAAATGAAAAATATATTTATTAAAATCCAGGCCCCATAGGTAGACGGGTGGATCAGACACTGCTAAAGATCAGTGAACTGGAAGATGTGTCTAAAAATGTGCCCCAAATAATGCAAGATATAAGAAACATGAAAAATATGAATGAGGGGTTAAGAGAGATAGAGGAGAAGCTGTGATTTAATTGGAGAGAAAATGGAGACTACAGGAAAGCAACTTTAAAGAGATGTGGTGCCAGGGGGTTTTGCAGAACCTCCTGAGAAACACGAATCTACACATTCAGAAGCACAGCCTGCAGCAGCAAGAAAGCAGACAAAAACCCATTACTGTCATCGCCTGTGAAACCAGAAGGCCGTGACTCTGGGATTCCGTGTTCCCCAAAGTTGTTCTTCAAAACTGGCCTTTCCCTAATGGAAGGAGACAGGGAGCTTGCTACAGACCCATTTAAAAGAAAACACAGGGTTATGCTTGAAGAAAAGGGGAAGCTGGTGTCAGGACGGCCAGATGTGCAGGAAGGAGTGGGAGGTGGCCTGGCAGTCACAGGCGAATGCAGACATGCTCTCCGTGTGACGACAGGGCCGTCGGGGCTCGTCGGCATCAGCAGTGTGTGCCGGGTGTGAGGCGGGGTGGGGCGGGGCACCTGCCAGTCCTGGAACCAGTCCTTGAACTGTCCTCGAACTGTCCCAGTGTGTTTAACTGGCTGCAACGTTCAGACTTCAAGCTCAGTGGGTTTGACACAGTTTCAAGGACAAACATTAGAAGAGCAGAAGTAGGGTTTATAAATTGCTAATTAGAAGGAAAAAATCAGAACTCACTAAGAAAAAAATTGCAGGGAACATATGTAAGCAGAAGTTTAAAACGTAGTTCACACAAATCCAGTTGTATCAGTAATCAGGACATACAGGAAGCAGACAAAAATGAAGTTTGTCAGATTGTGTTGAAGGCTTTGAACAAATGCATACATGTGCGTGTACAAATGCACACACAGGGGCCTCCTGTCCTCCCCTCCCCACCCCAGGCCTTGCAAAACTGTCGTCCACAAAACCAGTCCCTGAGGAGGCCTCGGGTTGGGGGGGCTGCTGGTGTGTGTGTGGGTGTGTGTGTGTGTGTGCACGCGCGCATGTGCTGTTTACAGGAACAGACCTGAAGTAGGATGACAGGCAGAAAGAGGAGGAAGGAAGCTGTTGTTGTTACATTGTTATCAGACTCCATGTATTTTCACGCAGGGACTGAAGGGCACTGCTTAATGATGCGAGTTTCAGTTTGTTAGGAAAAGACCAGTTTTAAACGAAAGTAGTTAATGAGACGACTGGCTGCTGGAGCAGCCAAGGCCTCTGTGGAGGTGAAGGAGGCTGCCAGGGCTTGGCTGGCGAGCTCTGTCTAGTGCCCGTGGGCAGCGCTCCGCATGCGGGGTGGGGAGAGCCTGTCCGCCTGAGCGCGCCGGCCGTTCACGGAGGTGGACCCCGGGCTGCGCCACAGACTGAGGACGAGGACGCGTGGTTTGTGGGCGCCAACCGCTGTAGGTACAGGTTCACAGTAAGTGAATTCCTGATTCCCTGGATGTTTGGGAATCTGAAGAGTGTATGATTTTGATTAACTTGTGGGTTAAGAAACCATAGTAGGCATTTTAAGTTATGCAGAACTAAAAGATAATGAAAACATCACATGAAAACCTGTGGAATGCAGAAAACGTTTGCTCTTGAGAGCTCTTCAGCGAAGCCTTACACGCTAGAGTTTTTTAACTGAAAACTTAGAATTAAGGATTTCACTTGAAAAATTAGGAAAAGAGCAACAGAATAAACTCAAAGTAACACACACACACACGGAAGTAACACGAGAGAACACGTAAGGGAAATTCTGAAATAGGAAACAAGATCAGCAAAGCGAGTATTTGACACGTGGAACACATTAAACGAATCGGCCTCTGAGGGGTTGGTCTGGAGAACCAGCGGGGGCTGCGCTCTGCCCCGGCCGTGGGGGGGCTGCAGGCCCCTGGAGAGGAAAGCGCAAGAGAGCGCGTCCACGTGCAAGCCTGACCGGAGTGCCATGCCAGCCAACCGACACCCTAGTGATGGGGACAGAAACGAAAGCAGGAGGCACAAAACCGCATTCTGCCACTCGCAGAGAATTATCCCGAGATGCCAAACAGCAGGTGGTCCAGTTTTGCGCAGACGCCACCAGGGCATCGGAATGAGAAGCGGGAGCACAGGAGGTCTTCCCAGGCCTCGTGAGGAAGTGGAGTTCAGATAACAAAGTCTGCCAGAAAAAAGGAGAGCCACGCGACGAGTTCAGTGGGATCAGAAAGAACATTTGATAAAATCTTAGTGCTCGTTCATAATTTAAAAGAAAAAAATGAACTAGCACTAGAAGAAAATACCTTTAACCTGAAGAAGGGATTTGCCAGGAGAGAAAGAGGGAGAGGCATCTACACAAACTATTCCCCAAAATGGGAGAGAAGCGCGGGCCAAGCCGGCCCTCTCTGTTTCCACTTCGTTCAGCCTCAGGTGCTGGTTTCCAGCCAGCGCAGTAAGACCAGGAATGAAAGGCCACAGGGTGGGAAGGAGGAAGCCAAGTTCCACGTCAGAGGTGAGCTGCGGTCCACACGGGAGTCGCACGGGAGCGCGCAGGGCAGCGGCCGTGGGGCCGGCCTGCTGGAGGCCCTCCCCGCCCGTCACAGTCCTGCAGTGACGCAGCCCACGAGTGCATCTGAGGCCACCCCAGGTGTGTGCACAGAAGGCTATGAACTTGACTGAAGAACAATGACACCTAAGTCACAGGCATCCCACGTTCACAGAGGGGAAGGGTTAATGTCAGGCTGTCAAGTTCCCCAGAGTCCAGAGATTGCGAGTCCCCAGAGTTTGGGGAATCCGAAGGCAAGGAGGGTTCCGGGAGCTCCCCCGTGTTCCGGGGGCCGCTGGGTGGACACGTTGCGATACAGCAGCCACACAGAGGAACACCTAGAGCTGCCCCTCGAGGCATCTTAGACACGGAGCGGGAACACAGGCGAGAGCCTGCGTGATGCCCAGTCTGTATAGATTCCCAGTTGGATGGGACGTAAGGACGAAGCACACCTGCCACTCCAGCAGTCGCGCCCCCGTGTCTTCCGAGAGGTGACAGGTGAGAGCAAGCGCCTGCCCCTCACCTTCCCCCAAGTACCTCCGAGTGTCCGTGGCAGATGGATGGGGACACAGACAGTGCCCTCCTCGTGCCCTGGACACTGCTCGGAGAAAATAGGCCTGTCTGCACGGGGCCAGGGCGCTGAGGAGACACACGGGCTCCCCGGTCCACCGCCCGACTGAGGTGCAATTCCCTGCCCGCCTCCACTTGCCAGCACTGTGAGCTCGCCCTGTGGCTGGTGTGTTGCGTACGAGCTACAACCAGGTAAAGTGCTCTCTAAGCACTGAAGTGCACCATTAAGAGACACACCGTGGGCGGCAGTACTGAAGGAAGCAAGGCAGTTATCCAGATAAGAAGTCAGGAGCTTGGCTACTTCTGAGGACCAGGGAGGGCTGCGGCCCAAGACGGCCACCTGGGTGCTCGCAGGCACCTCGGCCTGACCAGCGAGCCACCCTGTGTACTGGGTCCACACTGTGTGCTGGGTCACTGGTCTTTACGTTGCGTGTTTGTTCCGTGCACCCTTCGTGTGTGCATCACATGAACCAGAAACCAAAAACACAGAGGACTGCGAGGCTCCCGGAAGAACCCAGAGACTCCATCTCCGTCAGCAAGACGCAGGAAGACGTAGGGCGTTCAAACGAGGTGACAGCGATGCTGGCGGGAGGGTGGCGCCCCGGAGCAGACCCACAGCTCTGCTCTGAGATGCAGGGTGGCGCCGGGCCCTGCAGGTGCAAAGGCTGCGCACAGCTGGAGCTGTGCGGCTCTCGAGGGCTGCCGCCGGGTGGGCTGGGTCCCTGCCCGGCCACACTCACGAGCCAGCCCCACGTGGGCTCCGATGTCACATGGCAGGCGAAACTTTGATTGGGTATACGGGCGAAAGTCTGTCCACACCGTGAGGAAAGAGCTCTTAAAGATACCGGTAAACGTTCGGGCCAGTGGTTGCCGTGTAGATGGAGAGGGGACAGGGTTGCCACTCATCACAAAGGCTTAGCCCTGAGGTGTGTGAAGAGGGGACAGCACAGCGGGACATCCTAGGGGACCGCCTGGTGGGGCGGGACCTGCCTGCTGCCCACCGGGTGGAGACGGTCCAGGGGGGTCAGGGGTCAGCAGGGCCAAGTCCAGGGGGCTTTGCGGCCCGCGCACTGCTGTCCCTGTGGCTCTGCGCGGCGTCCCCACAGCCACACGTGGAGCCAGGCTCGTGGAGGAGCCACGCAGGCGCCGTGCCGAGCGGGGCAAGCGGGGGCCACCTGGTGTGACCCTGCTCCTCCATGGTCACACACGTGCACGGCATGCTGCTACTGAGCACGCGTGTGGAGGTCCTGGCGCCACGCACCAGCACAGGGTTCCTCCTGGGGGCAGCGGGGGCCTTGGGGCGGGCAGTGTCGGTGTCTCAGGCGGAGGTTGGTCACCCAGGCTTCTCGTCGTGCCATCCTGCGGGCACACATCCTGTCCACGCGTGTGGGTTTGTGTGTGCATGACCTATGTCTCCGAGGACAGCACGGACGCCTGCGGGGAGGGGGTGTCCAGAGAGGAGCCGAGGGTGGGCAGCAGGACAAGCGGGGCCACTCAGGAACCAGGGAGCTGCTGGGTGCCTGGCTTCCGTTCAGGTCGGGTTTCGTTCAGATTTCTACCACCCAGATTACAGCCGAAAAGGTGAGAAATTCAGAAATTATGCAAAGTACAGGTTTTTGAAAGAAAATGTCCATTCCTTTCCTTAATACACAAGTTGTCACTTCCTGGAAGCAGATGGCATCGTGCGGCCTTTTCTAGATGCTTTTAGCTCTGTTTGGGGTCCAGAGGTGGAGGGGGGCTGGCCAGCGCGGCGCCCTGAACACTCCGGCTTCCCAACGCTGCCTGTGAGCCTGTGCGCAGTGAGGGCAGGCCAGCATCTGCAGGGCGCCGCGTGGAGGAGGGCCTGCGGGCCCTCGGACGCTGTACTCGGGCGCCCCTGCAGCGCAGGTTGGAAAGGGCGACACAAAGCGCCCGCGGGTGTTCAGGGCGCCGGCCACTGTCCTGAAGCAGGGAACAGGGTGCGGAGGGGTTCCCCCCGCCACCGCACGGAGATGCAGGAGGACATGGGCTCAGGTGACTCTGGCTTTCTGTCTTCCAGGTTCTGCTTGGATTCCGCCAGGCAGACCCGGCAGAGACTGTCCATCAACTGGTCCAACTTTAGTTTGAAAAAAGCCACCTTTGCCGCCCACTGAACGAGGACCACCTGGAGAGGGACGCATGGGAGTCCACCCGGGCCGTACCGGGTGGGCTGCGGTGCCTGAGACCGCAGCCCCAGGAGGCGCCACCGGCCTGCTGTTCACTCCTGTGCGCGTCTGTGCTCCTGTGACCGCTGCTCCCACCACTTCCTCCGCCCCCGAGGCCTCGGGCCTGGGCCGTGGCTGAGATGAGTTTGCATCACCCTCGTGGCCCCGTCGCCTCTGCATCTCGCCCCGTCCTGTCATCCGTCCTCGAGGGCGTCGCCATCACTCAGCGCCCACCTGAGGGGCGGGCGGGCGGGGCAGGCGTGCGCCAGTCTCCACAATCTGCTGTTAAGAGTGTACATGTCGCACTGTTTGTGTCTGACCCCTGACTCGTAGCCAGCTTGTGTAAGACCCTGCAGAGTGAGACCGTTCCAACGAGCCCACCCAGTACTCACCGTCCAGTCCGTTAGAGTGTACGACTGTATTAACACGGGCCTGCCTGGCTACTTTTTAACATATTGTTAAGTAATATTAAAATCATGTCTTTCTTTTTGAAAGATGGAATACATTAGTACAGCAGAAGGCCTCGTCTGGTTGCTTTCTGCGGGGGCTGACGGGAGTGTGGCGGGGCGGGGTGTGCGGGGGCTGTCCCCCGACGGGCCTGGGCTGCTACCCCAGGTGGCAGCTTAGGGGTCCCTGTGCCCTCGCTGTCCTTCAGGCCACAGGACAGAGTTCAGCCAGAAGTGGTAAGTGCTTGGAGAAACAGCAGCCTGGGTGGTGCCCAGGCAGCTGGGGTGGTGCCCAGCCGGGCGCCTGGAGGCCTGCGAGTTTAAACCTGTAGCCTGAGGGAGGCAGAGCACCTCGGGCAGGGCCTTGGAGGCAGCTGCCCATCTGGCCCTGGGGCGTATGGTCTCTAATAAAACGATTAAAAAGCTGCACTAAGCTGGGTTTGAATGAGGAACGTGAACAGCATTTAAGACGGGAAAAGGAACCCTGCCTGGTCCCTTCGTTCTCAGGCCTGCGAGGGGTTTCGGGAGGCTGCAGGCGGCTGCCTCCTGGCTGCAGCCAGCACCACCTACCTCCCACTGCCCTGTGCGTCCCTCCAGAACCTGGTATGTCCCCAACGGAGGGGAAGGGTGAGGGCCTTGCTTCTGACAGCAGACCGGCCAGGCTCCCAGCCAGGAGAGGCGGGTGGGCTGGTCTCTGGGCGTGCTCTGGAAGGCAAGTCCACGGGGCTTTCTCCGACTGACTCCCTGAGCACAGCACCCTTGAGGTCCGCCCATGCACCCCTGCTGCTCCCGTCTCGGCCTCTGGGAGTGGGGGTGGGGCCTGTGTCGTTGGGAATCGGCGTTTTTCTTTTCTCTGAATAAACACCCAGAAGTGGGGTCACTGGGTCACAATTTAAAAAGACACCCATTTTTCACTTTCTGAGGGAACGCCACACTGCTTTCCACAGGGGCTGCAGCAGCCTGCGTTCCCACCCACCAGCCACTGTGCATGACGGCGTGCACCTGTCCTGCACGTCCTCGTCAACACGCGTTGGCTCACCTGTTGACAGCGGCCACTGGACAGGTGTGAGGTGACATGGTTGTCGTGGGCAGCGCTCCGACAGCGAGGGACGGTGAGCGTGTCCTCTTTGCAGAAGCGTCCGTTAGGTCCTTTTCCCATTTCTTCATTGCATCGTTGGGGGGTGTGTGGTGCCCAGTTGCTGGAGTTGCGCATTTTGGACTTGATCCCCTCACTGGCTGCACCGCTGGCAAAGCCGTCCCGCTCAGTGGGATTTTCTGTCTTCTGGTTGGTTTTCCTCACTGCAGAAAACTTTTCCATTGGACACGGTTCCCTCTGTTGTTTCTTTCGTCACCCCTGCCTGAGTGGGCGTGTCTGAAGGCACTGGACCCACGTGGCGGCGGCGGCGAGCACGCTCTGTCCTCCTGCAGGACGGCGGGTCTCCACCTGGCCCATCTCACAGGCCCGCCCGTAGACGGGTCCGTGCCCGCAATCCTGCAGCACATGAGGACACGGGTCTCTTTGCCGACTGTACAAAAAAATGTATGATTTTGATTCCTTTGCACTGGACGGCTATTGTTGTGTCGGCTGTCGTCTTTTTCCCCCCCCCCAACAATCTAAGGGATGGGCCGTCAGTGCCTCTGACCAAATCGGTGCAGCGTGCTGTGGCGCTTCTGGTGGTGCCGAGGCGAGAATCACCGCTCTGAGCAGGAGTCGCTGATCCGTGGGAGGGCTGTATGTGCGCGCGTGTGTGTGCGTGGTGCCAGAATGTGGTCCAATTTTTTTTTTCCTCTGCATCTGTCCTGTTTTCTCATTTACTTTACGTATTGTCTTTACCCCACTGTGTACTCTGGCCCCTTTGTCACGGAGTAATTGGCCCTGTGAGGATTTATCTCTCTGTCCCTTTGACCCATGTGTCTCTTTTTGTGCCAGTACATGTGTTTTGTTGGCCTCGCAGTTACCATGAGACCTCCTGCTTCGTTGCCTCTCAAGACTCCTTTGGCTGCTTGGGGTCTTTTGAGGCATTTTCCAGCCCTGGCCCTGGGGGAGGAAACACAGAGACCAGCGTTCAGGAGGCTGAGGTGGCTGGAATTTGTGGGCAGAGTTCTGTTTGTTTATTTTTATTTTTAAATATTTTACTTATTTATTTTTAGAAGGGGAGGGAGAAAGAGAGGGGAGAAACGTCAATGTGTGGTTGCCTCTCACGCGCCCCCTACTGGGGACCTGGCCTGCAACCCAGGCGTGTGCCCTGACTGGGAATCCAAGCGGCAACTCTTTGGTTCACAGGCCAGCGCTCAATCCACTGAGCCACACCAACCAGGGTCGGTGGGGCAGAGTTCTGGACGAGGTGGGAGGGGGGGCTGAGTGCACGCAGAACACCCCGGAGACCTGCCGAGGCCCCGCAGATCTGCTCACCTGTGCGTCTGGGATAAAAGTCCATGAATCTGGGGGAATTCAGCAGAAAGCAGTAGGGCTGAAGTAGTTCCTGTGTCCACCAGCCGGGAGACGACCTTGTACCAGCCGGCACCGTGTGGAGCCTTTAGAAGGACCTCATCTTGGTGGTGGGCGGGGCTAAATTAGACCAAAGTAAAATGCAGAGCTGCAGGCTGGACTCGGAAGGGCCAGCTGGACCCAGAGGAGCCGAGCAGCCTGCACTGGGCAGAGGGCCTGTGGCCGTCCGGCTGGCGGTCGCCCACTGAGCCAGGACCGGTCTATGCATCCTTTGAGGAGATAAGAGTTCAACCCAGGACAGACTGTTTCATTGGCTTTTCTAGTTGTGGGAAATATACAGGAATACCATGATTTTTCATGTTGACTGTATCTTAAGATTGTCAAATCAGCTTATTAATTTTAGCTTTTGCATGAGACCCCCCCAGGAGTTGCCACGCACGGCTGCGTCAGGGTGGAGGAAGTCATGTCGGCTCCCAGCCGGCAGAGGTTTTTACCACGAGTGGGTGTTGGCTGTTTCCATGTGTCTGTCTTTTCTGCTGTTCTCCAGGTGACCACGTGGCTCTTCCCCCTCCGATAACCGTGAATGTCCGTTGGTTGGTCTTTTAAACACCAGCCAGTCTCGTCCTCCACCTGATTCAGACACACCGTCCTGTTCACATGCTGACTTGAATATGCCACTGTCTGGTGTCCACGAGAGACAGTGCCCTGCACTGGCTCACCTTGTCTTCTGTCAGAAAATGAGCGGCGAGCTCGGCAGCACCTCTCAAGCGTTTGGAAGAATTCACCAGCGAACTCGTCTGGGCCTGGAGTTTACCCGTCAACAATTTTTTACTACAGATCGGATTTATTTCATGGACGGTCAGCTACTCACGTTTTCTGCTTCTTCTTGTGTCCACTTTGGTAAGTTGCTTTTCAAGAATTTTATCCATTTCACCTAGTTGTCAAATCAAGTACTGCCGTAAAGCGTTCATAATTCCCTCTCACCTTTCACTGCTTCAGAGACGGGCAGGGTTCTCCTCTTTCGCTCCCAACAGTAGTGATGTTGTGTCTCTTTTTTCCTCATCAGTCATGCCTGGGGCTTGTCAGTTTTACTGCTGTTCGAAAGAACTAACTCGTGGCATTGTTCATTTTCTCTGCTTTCTGTTTCATCAGTGTCTGCTCTTTCACTTACTTACTTCCATTTGGGATAATTTACAGTCTTTCCCAGCTTCTCATGCTGGGCACTGGGTCACTGAGTTGTAACCTTTGCTCACTTCCGATAGACGTGTCTGGAGCTATGGAGTGTCCCCTCCCCGCTGCTCCGTGACTGTTTTTGTGCTCCGTAGTGTTTTTAAGTCTGTTTTTTGATTTTAGAGAGAGGGGAAGGGAGAGCAGGTGAGTGAGAGAAGCGGCAGTTGGTTGCCTCCTGCACACACCCAGACCAGGGATCAAACCCGCCACCTTTTGCTGTACAGGGTGATGCTCCAACCAACCGCGCCATCCAGCCAGGGCTGTGCGCCATAATTTTCTTAAAGTTTTTTTCCGTCTTTTCCTTTGCCCACGGATCATCTGGAAGTGTGTGGGCATTGGCCAGTTCTCTTCTGCCACCGAGTCATGCTTTGATCGCACCGCGGTGGGAGAACTTCCACGTGGCCTCTCCGTCCTCAGGAGCTCGGTGCGACCCGACTTGCCGTCCGCAGGTTTGCCGCTGCCGGCGAGCGTCCCGAGCGTCCTCGCTGCAGCCTGATTCTTCCCTGCTCCCTTCAGTTCCCAAGGGAAGTACGTTCAGGTCTCTGCCACTGTGCCTTCGTCCGGTGCTCCTTTTGCTATGTTTTGAAGTTCTGTCCAAATGTAGCAACACTGCACGTTCCTGGTAAACTTACCCTTTTTCTTGGTGCAGTGTCTCTTCCTTGCCGGGGACACTTTCTGTCCCTGTGAAGTCCACTCCATCCGATAAGCACACAGCCACTCTCAGGCCCTTGGTTAGTGTTGGCACCGTGTACATGTTGCTGTCTTTCCACTCTGGGTTCTTGCATTTAAAGTGTACCTTCCACCAAGCACACAGATGACACTGCATTTTCATCCAGGGTGACCGTCATTGTCTGTCAGTGTGTGTGACCCATTCATTTATTTAAATATATTTTATTGGTTATGCTGTTACAGTTGTCCCACTTTCCCCCTTTTATTCCCTCCCCCTGCACACCCCCTCACCCACATTCCCCCACATTAGTTCATGTCCGTGGGTCGTACATAGAAGCTCTTTGGCTTCTACATTTCCTACACTATTCTTCACTCCCCTATTTTATACCTACCATTTATGCTTATTCCCTGTACCTTTCCCCCCATTCTCCCCCCTCCCCTTCCCCACTGATAACCCTCCATGTGATCTCCATTTCTTGATTCTGTTCCTGTTCCTAGTTGTTTGCTTAGTTTGTGTTTATTTTTGTTTAGGTTTAGTTGTTGATAGTGTGAGTTTGTTCTGTTCACAATTTTGATTATCTTCATTTTCTTAGATAAGTCCCTTTCCCATTTCATGTCATTAGGGTTTGGTGATGATGAACTCCTTTAGCTTGACGGTGTCTGGGAAGCACTCGATCCGCCCTTCCATCCGTGTGTCATACGGAGGCACGAACGAGATGGTGGCCACTTAATTTGGAGGTTCAGATTCGCAGACAATAAAAACCCCCAAGTCAAAGATGAATAGTTAAGTACTTTATTAAGCAAGAGCCAAGAGAAAATCAAGAATCAAGAGCATCCGGCACCAGACGGGAGACCACCCACACCTAACGCAGACGCTGGGGGTCCCGAGACAGCGGGACTCGGGGTTCACTGGGGAGTTCCAGTGAAGCGTCCTTCCTTCAGGTGGGATTCCACAGTCACGCTTCAGGGCTCTGCTTAAGTATGTTTCAGACAAACATGGCTGCGCGCCAAGGGCCTTGTGTGATTCTGACTTAACCAAGCAGTCCCTCTGGGAGAAGGGCCGGTTCTCCCAAGGGAACAGCCGAAGAAGATCAAAAGCTACTAATCTCCCTGGGAGACAGCGCTGCACCTACTTTTCCAGTCAAGGTCACAGCTCAGGCATAAACGGGGAGAATTCTCAAAGTCCTGTTAACCCTTCACTATTCTAAATGATAGATTTGCTGGATAGAGCAATCTTGGGTGTAGGTCCTTGATTTTCATTACTTGGAATACTTCTTTCCAGCCCCTTCTTGCCTGTAAGGTTTCTTTTGAGAAATCACCTGATCGTCTTATGGGGACTCCTTTGTAACTGTCTTCTCTTCTCTTGCTGCTTTTAAGATTCTCTCCTTCTCTTTAATCTTGGCTAATGTAATTATGATGTGCCTTGGTGTGTTCCTCCTTGGGTCCAACTTCCTTGGGACTCTCTGGGCTTCCTGGAAGTCTATTTCCTTTGCCAGATTGGGGAAGTTCTTCATTATTTTTTGCAAATAAGTTTTCCATTTCTTTCTCTCCCTCTTCTCCTTCTGGCACCCCCACGATTCAGATGTTTGAATGTTTAAAGCTGTCCTGGAGGTTCCTAAGCCTCTCCTCATATTTTTGAATTCTTATTTCTTCATTCTGTTCTGCTTGAATGTTTATTTTTTCCTTCTCATCCAAATCATTGAGTCCCAGTTTCCTTCCTGGCACTGCCGATTCCCTGTACATTTTCCTTTATTTCACTTTGCACAGCCTTCACTCTTTGCTCCATCTCATGACCACACTCACCCATCTCTGCGAGCATCCTGATCACCAATGTTTCGAACTGTGCATCTGATAGGTTGGCTCTCTTCGTCACTTAGTTGAGTTTTTGTGGAGCTTTGATCTTTCATTTGGGTCATTTTTTTGGTCTCCTCCAGCCTGTTAAGTAGTAAGGGGCGGAGCTTTAGGTATTTGGCAGGGCGCGGCAACCAGGATACTGGATAGTGGCGCTGTCTGTGGGGGAGGGGTCCGAGGGGGAACAGTGCTGCTTGCTCAACTCTCTGTAGGCTTCCAGTCACTTCCTCCGCTTCCCACAAGCAGACGTGGCCCTCCTCGTGCCCATTCCCGGTGGGTGGGTTTGTGTGCATTCTAGGACCCTGCAGGTCTCTCCCAACGGGCTCTCCTGTGAGGCTGGGAGTCTCTCCTACCACCACAACCCTCCTGTTGGCCCAGGTGTCTTCAGTTAGAGGTTCGAGACTTTCTATCCCCAAGCCAAAACTTTAGGTTGCACGGTCTGTCTCGCTCCCCAGTTGTTCCTCCCTGTTATCCACATGCCAACCTGGGGCCGTCCAACCCGCAAGCCGCCACCTTGCTGCACGTGCGCTTTGCCCTCCTACCGTCTGGATAAATGTTTCTTTAACTCCTTGGTTGCCAGACCTCCATACAGTTCGATTTTCTGGTAGTGTGGTTGTTTTTGTTTTTTAAATTTGTTGTCCTTCCGATTGTGTGAGAAAGTACAATGTGTCTGCCTACACCTCTACCTCCGGTCCATTTATTTTCATGGTGACTGTTGACATAGTTGGGTTTAAGGCTCCCACTTTGCCATCTGTTTTCTGTTTGTCTCCTCTTCTTTTTTCCTTTAGTTCTCCTAACTCGTCTTCCTTTAAATTAATCAGAACATTGTTCTAACTTTTCAATTAAAGACTGTCAGTACTATTTTAATGGTTACCCTCAAGATCATAATATGCTTTCTTCATTCCCTATGGTCCACCTTACATCAGCCAAAACCCTCACAATTGTCTGAGTTTATCAAACACTGCCCGCTACCACCTGGGAAGCTCCGGCGGTCGGGCCGGCCTGTCTCACAGCCGCCGGGACACTGCTGTGCACGGTCCGTCTCCGGGCCCTGCCACGGCTCTGTTCTGCCCGCAGCGTTTCTGTGGCCACTCCCTGTCGTCCAGTCCCCTTGTGTGAGTCTGAAAGCGTCTTCCTTCTGCCTCCGGTTTCCCGTGTTGTATTTTCTCTGTGCACAGACCTGTGGCACCGCCCGGCCAGGTCCTGGGCACTGCTGGCATGTTGGGCACCGGCTCCTGTCATGGTTCCTGGAGCCTGCGCACTCTTTCGGCAAAGGGCTGTTGGGTGCTGCCCCAGGATATCACCTTGGCTCCTAGGGTGGCCCTTCTGGGTTTGAGGGAAACCTGAGGTGCTCACACAGGCCTCCTAACCCTGAGACTGGAATTCTAAACTGTCACCGTGCAAGGGGCGCCACTAACATCTGCTCAGCTCCTGCCGCTTCCCAGCCTGCTTGACTTGGGGTCCTGCAGTCCCCCCTAAGTATGCACAATGCGAGGGTCAGCCAAGGGTCTGAAGGTCCCCTCGTCCCAGCACTCAGGTGTCCACAGACCGCTCCGCTTCGTCAGGTTGCTGAGGCTTCTTGCCGCTTCCCACCCCACGACGGGCCTGCCGGGCGGGGTTCCGGGGAGGGGGTGGGGGCTCCCCAGAGGAGATGACCCCCAACTGCACCGAGGACCTGCCCAGACAGAGGTGGTGAGAGGGTGTTCCAGGCAAGAGGGGCAGTGGGCCCGCTGCTCATCCCAGCTGGTCTGGCGCCTGCCTGAGCAGGGGCGCGGCTGAGCCCCTGTCCCCAGTCACCACGCCTTCCCCGAGCAGTCACAGCAGCAAATACTCGCGTCATAAAAACAAGGGGACGAGCAGTGAAAGTGCCTGAGCTCCGGGGTGCGTGACCGGCGCCAGTGCACCGCACCGCACCGCACCCAGCGAGGCCGGCGGTTCCTCTGGCCAGGCCAGCGCTGTGAGCCACACGCTTGGCTCTGCACCCTGCAGGGCCCTCTCACCCCGAGAGCCAACGTGTGGCTCCCACGGGCCACCTCTTCCCAGCAGGCCGCAGCACCCCAGGTGCTCCCGCTGACCTACTCTGTGCGTGGCTGGAGCAGGACGGAGGCGAAAGGTCAGAAGCACCCTCGGCCCTGATCCCGTGCGCTGAGGGCACCAGCCTGTCCCCGCCTGGGCTCACAGGCAGCACTCGGCCACGTGTCTGAGGAGCTCCTCGCCCTGCTCGTCACTGAAGCCCTGCAGGCAGTGGGGGCACTGAAGCTCCCCCTGGCCGCTCCGGGCCACTCCAGGGCGCCTGTCCTCTCTGGGGGCGGCCAGACACTGGGACCCAGTCCCAGGCCGCTGGCCAGCAGGCAGCAGCAACTCCGTGGCATCGGTCTCTGAGTACTTGGGAGGGTTGCTCCCTGTGTGAATCCGGCAGGAGCCTGGCTTTTGGGCGTCCTGGAAAAAAGACAAAGGTCTGTTTTCGTGGGCTGCACTGGAGGCCACCAAGCTGGGTCCTGGGTTCACCTGTCCCTGAGTGGGGCTCACACCCCTCGCCCTGCTGTGGCCCAGAGCCCAGAAGCGAACGGCAGACCATGGTGACATCACATGCTCACAAACGGCTGGTGGCAGGAGCAAGGCGGAGCCCCAGGGGCACATGGAGGCCGAGGGTCTCGTTTCTGGACACCCAGGGCCTCAGCCTCCACAGCCACGAGACAGGGTGACCAGGGCTCCCACCTCACAGCAGGGAGGGGGCGCCAGGGAAAGAAGCCCACCGTGGAGCCTGTGGCCCAGGACCTGCTCCCTGGGTGCAGACTGCGAGCCCAGGAGGTGGCGGCCCCTCCTGCCACACTCTGCCTGCCACGCCGGCTCCCTCCGGGCGGGCGGCTCAGCAGACACAGCGGACTTGAAGTTCACAAAGAGGAAAGAAGCCCTGCACACCCCCGGGAGCCAAGCCCCCACACCTACCTGCCCGTGGGATGCCTGGCGCTGCAGGGCGGCTACCTGGTCCTCGAGCTCCTGAATCCTGCCCTGAGCCCGCTCCCGGTCCGCCCTCTCCGACAGGAAGTCGTCCTTGTACACGAGAATCTGGGGAGAGCAGACGCCCACCGTTGCTGCGTTGCGCTGGTCTGCCGGCTGGAGGAGGTGCGACGCCCTGTGCTGCCGCCCGGACCCACCTGCTGCTCCAGCATCTGCACCCGCTCCTGTGCCGCCGCCAGCTCCCGCACCGCCGCCGCGCACTCGCCAATCCTCGCCTCCAGCTGCCTGTTGAGCCGGGAGATCTCCTTCCTCATCAGCCCCGTCTCCGGCTCAGGCGCCTGTGGCTCCCGCAGCTGGGTCCACAGCCCCCGCACATACTCCTCCCTGCTGGCATCGTAGCGCTGCCACTGGGCGTTGAGGTCTTCTACCTGAGGGCAGAGCACGGTGAGGCCACTCTCCGTGCACGGAGCTCGGCAGCTGCTGACCGGCCTGGGGCAGTGGGAGCCACCCCCCTGGCTCTGGGCACAGGCAGCGTCCAGAACACAAGGGCCTGGTGCCAGTTTCCTGCCTGAAGGGCTGTCGGCGGGAACTCCAGTCTTTTCCCCTGCGGCATGTGACCTGAGGGGTGGGAAGGAGAAGGACCCCACCCACCGCCGGGGCCAGCCTGACCCGCAGCCCGTAACAGGAGCTCTCCTCCGACGAGATGCCAGACACTCACGTGAGCCACCTTCTGCTTTAACAGTCGGTTTTCTTCCTGTAACCTCTCAATCGTGGCCTGAACAGAGGTGTCTTTGCCTGCACGTCCTGGCTGCAGAAGAAAAGGACGGAGGAGACAAGGGTCACGGAACGTGTCAGTCACGTGCAGCGAGAGGGGAGGCCCCAGGTGCAGCAGGAGGCGGCCCTTCACCAGAGCAGCAAAGCCTGGATGGGAAGGGCTCGTCGCCACCTGCTGGTGCTTGCGGGCAGCCAGGCACGGCTGTCCCACCGCCACAGCTGTCAGGAGGGCAGCACGCTCAATCCCACTGTCCCCGAGGACGCCGGCCAGACCCACAACCTCAGCGTGTCCGCAGACAGCCAGGGCCCACCTCACCTGCCCTCACGCAGGGTCAGGGCGGCCCGCACACGGGTGGGCAAACCCGGCTGAAAGTCTTACGAAAGGCCCAGCTCACTCCCGACCCGAGAGCAGGACAGACGGGGCGCTGGGGCGCTGGCGCATCACCTTGAGAATTTCCCTTCAGCGACAGGAAGTGCGTGTCCTAACCCAGCAGTGGGGAAGCCCCGGTGACTCACGTCTGGGAAGTGATGCTGACTTGGAGACTGCAAGCCCCGCCAAGGCCCAGGCCCGCCCCAGGCTGGCCACTGCGTGGGGCCACTTTTGGGTCCCCAGAGGGAGGTGGCAGTGACTCAGCCAGACGAGGCTGTGCTCCTCCTAGAGGGCACTTTCTCCTTTGGTTCCTGGCACACGCGTGTTTTTCTCCAAGTCTGGAGCACAGCCAGCACACGGGCAGCCTCAGGCAGAGGGCCTCCCAGCGGACTTGCTCCCCAGGAGGGGACACCCTCGCACAGCAGAGCGCATTTCTGCGGGGCCTTGGTGCAGCCTCAGAAGGTGCCTGGGAAGCACCAAGGGAGAGGCCCAGCGTGGTGGGGGGTCCTGGGCCGGTGGGCACGAGGCTTCTTTCCCATCCACCCTCAGGCCTGCCCTGGGGCTGGAAGGTGGCAGGATGGCGGCTTCGGCTCCATTCCTGCATTCGCTGCCCCCCCCAGCCCCCTCCTCAGGATCTCGGTGACTCCACCCTAAGGGATCCCTGGCGCCGAAGCCCTTGCCGGCCCCTCTCCCCATCAGGCCCCATGGGCCGGCACCACCCGGGCTCGGCCGACCCGTTGGGGGCTCGCCTGCCGCCCCGCACTCCACCTGGCTGGGCTCCACACTGTCCCCCTCTGCTGACAACGCTGGAGCCCTGGGGCAGCCGGGCCTCAGAATCGCAGCCCCTGGTGTGACGAGCCCAAAAGCCACTTCAGAGATGGCAGCCTCGGCTCCACAGGCGGCCCAGGGCCGGCCAGGGGCCCACAGAAGGCTGCACTCAGTCCTCTGCCTGTGGTGCCCGCCAATCCCCACCTCGCCCAGTCCCTGCACCTGCCAAACACACACGTTCAGGGCAGCCCCTCAGCCCAGCCTCCCCCACGTCCAGGGCCCAGGGCCGGCTACAGGCCTGGGTGCAGTGGGCTGCTGAGCCTGGCCGTGCTGGGCATTCTGCAGGTCCCATAGCTCTGGAAGAAACCCCCGGAAGGACAGGCTCTGCCTCAACAGAAGTGGGCCCTGCGCACCAGCCTCAGTGACCGCCGAGGGCCGCTGGGCCAGCAGGCAGTGTCCCCTGCCCCCAGACCCCCTCACCACAGCCTACCTCCGGGCTCTGCCCCGCCACGGCCCCCTGCTGTGCATCGAGACACTTGGCCAGGTGCTGGCACATGTGGGCGGTGGCGGCCAGAGTCCTGCGCAGCTGGTGGGTCTCGTCGGCCAAGGAGCGGCACAGGACGTCACTGGTGGCCCGGGCCCGCTCCTTCTCTGCCACCTGCCTCCGCAGCAGGGCGACCTCCTGCTCCAGCTCCGGCTCCGGCCGGCGCATCCACCGGGCGGCCTCCCTCTCCCTCTCTTCTAGCTTCTCAGAAAGTCTCTCGATTTCCTGATGGGAGATTTAAAAGCAGAGTTTACTTGATGAAAAGTAACATCAGAGGCAAACGCCATGAAGCTCAGGAAATGCCGGCACAGGGCCCGCCCTGGAGAGCAGGCTCAGTCCTCCATGGGCGTCCGAGCCCCCAGTTCGCTGGAGCAGTTGGCCTCTGGTGGTCTGCCTGAAGCCCCGACCAAAATTCTGTTTTCACGAGCAGGTTTACAGTTTCAGATTTTACATCATCAAATGACTAAGTGCGGTGCTTCCTGACATTTCCCCGGTAGGAAGGGCAGGAACCCCAACATGGTGGGCAGCCCCCAAAAGATACATCCATGGCCCAACCCAGCTACTTGGGGTGTGGCCGCGTTTGGCAGTGGGGTCCTTACAGTGTGAACAGTTAAGGTGAAGTCATACTGGGCTCATCAAGTGACTAGTGTCCTTGTCAGAAGAGGGACACTTGGATCCAGAGAAGGCCGTGTGGAGGCAGAGACGGGAGTGGAAGCTACAAGACAGACGGCACCAGGACCGGCACGGCCACCCCAGCGCCACCCTCGGAGCCCGGCCCTCGCCCGGAACCTGAGAGACGTCCTTCGTTTCAAGCCCTGAGTTGAAGGCACTTTGCCACGGCAGCCACGGCAGCCACGGGAAACACAAATCTCAAACCCAAACACACCCAGGTCCCATCACTTCTTTAAAAAAAAAAAGAAAACAGTACTTAAAATTGTGATCCGCTTTGTGCCTGCCCTAATTTTGTGCTTCCCCATCTTTAAAACAATCTCCAACATGCACAGGGCCAGAGGGAGGTCCAGTCTACAGATGAGAAGCGGCAGCCTCGCTCCCCAGGGCGAGGGGGGGGGGCAGGGGGAGCGGCAGCGGAGACACTGGGAGCCCAGAACCTTCTCACCGCTTCCCAGTGGGGGAGATGCAAGGCCCTGATGCTGATAAGGGAGCCCCGAACTGCTGTCCCCGCAGCTGCTTTAAACAAAAACACGCATAGTCACAGAAACATCAGAGATACCAGGGTGAAATAACCTGAAAACGTCAACTCCACGTGGCACCCGCACCCCCAGCTTCACTTTCCAGAGGCGACCTCCCTGTCTGAACGCTCCTCCTTCCTGGACATTTGTGAGCACCTAGAACACGTGGTCTCTCCCCAAACGACCCTGCAGCAACACTGCCTGTCTGCGCCTTCTCCATCTGCGAAGCGCGGACACGACCGATGCTACGGCGAGAAGACGGGTTGGAGAAGAGCAGTGTGAACACCTGCACACCCGCAAGTTCACCTGGAGGAAACGGACACGTTCGTGGAGACACAGAGAAACAGGAAAACCTTTGCCTAACAAGTGGAATCAGTAACCAAAGGTCTGCAGAAAAACAAAGCAAAAGCCCTGGAACTCACAGCTTCTCAGGTGAATTGTACCAGACACTTAAGGAAAAGTTAATACCAGTCCTTCTCAGGGTTTCCCAACAAGTTGAAGAGGAGGGAACACTTCCTGTTTTTATGATGCTGGAATTACCCTGTGACCAGCACAAGACACCACACGAAGCCTGCAAACCAATATCCCTTCTGAGCAACAGTTCTCAGCAAGATGCTGGCAAACTGAGTCCAGTGACATGTGGAGAGGATTATCCACTGTGACCAAGCAGGATTTTCCCCTGGAAGACAAGGGTGGCCCAACGTATGGAAACTGATCAACTGATCCACGGTGAGTATTTCACAATATATACAAATACTGAGTTGCCATGTTGTGTGCCTGAAACTAACATGTTATATGTCAGTTATATCTAAAGGGGGGGAAAGCAGTTGACACTGCTCATCACCAGGGTCTGGTTTGGAAACGGACTTTAGGGCGGTACTCACTCTGCATTCAGTACTCTGCCCAACACCTCCCCCCTCCCTCCCTCCCCCTTGCTTCGAGGGGCGATCACATGTGCAGGCGTGATCCACAGTTTGAAGGGCAAAAACTGGATCTGGGATTTCTCTGCATGCGCCTCACCTAGTGCTGAACAGAACGTTGCAGTTCACAACTTCACAAAGCAGCAGAGCCCGTCACAAGTCGCCCCCCGTCTGACCTTACAACCCCTTCCTGTGTTATTCTCTACCTGCTTTTCAGTGTGGCTTCACTGGATCAGTACCGCCACGGCCCGGTCGGCTCTGGCGCTGTGCACGTCCTCGGAAGGTGAACGTACTATATAAGCCCAGTGTTGGGAGAAGCCAAAAACACAGCCCATGGTGTTCGTGCGCGTTGCACTCCCATAGAGAGATTTCCAGTAAATGAGGCTCCGCACTCCCCTGTGGCAGTGGCCAGTGCCGATCATGTCTGGGCACCTGTGCAAGAGATGAAGCTCTGTGCTTACACCTGTGAACTCCTGTCCACTGCGACGCAGAACAATGCTGCACCCGCCCACCACATCTTCCACAAAGGCAGTGGGTTAGTTCTGCAGTGAGGGCCGGCGATTCATAAAGAGAAACATGCCTTTCTTAGTCCATTCTGCATCCCTAGTGCCCAAGAAAACGTATCAGAACGTTATTTCACTGAGTGAACTAAGTTGGACAGAAAAAGACCAGCACCACATGATTTCACTAGTATGTAGACGCTAAAGAACAAGAATAAACAAAATGAAAACCCACTGACACAGACCAAACAGGTGGTTGCCCGAGGGGAGGGGTGGGAGGACGGATGGGGGAAAGGGAACACAGGTAGTAACACTGGGAGGAGTTTGAGTAAGTGGGGTGACCACACCGTCAGGCCTAAGAGTCTCGTGGCCATGCTGTACCCGTGAAACTAAGGTAATTTTATACGCCAACTAAAACAGCCAGCGAAGACCACACCCCTAGCCCCAGGACAGGCCTCGCGCCCCGCACACGCACCCCTGCGGGACCCGAGCGCACCCACAGCTCCGACCCGAGCAGGCGCACCTGGCGCAACGCCGCCTCCACGGCGCCACCCTCCCGCTGCCGCAGCTGCTCCCGGAAGCGCGCCACCTGCTCCAGCAGTGCGTCCACGAGCGACGGCGCCGCGTCCCCCTCGAGCGCGGCCAGGCGGGCGCGGAGGCGCTCTATGAGCGCGTCTCGGGCCGCCAGCTGGTCCTGCAGGCGCCTCAGCTGCTGCCTGGCCTCGTGGTACAGGCCGCAGAGAGTGGCGGCCGCGCGCGGGGCGCCTTTCTGCCCGCCGGGCCCCTCGTCCCCCGACGACATGCCTGCGGGCCTGGACCCAGGGCGCGCGGCCGCCGGCCACTTCCGCGCCGGCTCTGGGCCAGCCGCCACCTTCCCGGAACTTTAGCCTGCGAGCCCGCCCCTCACCGAGAATCCCACTCGCTGGCCGCGGAGTGTCGGCCACGCCCACCCCGGAGTCGGGTCACACCCTCCACTGAGAGCCAGGCACCGCCCCTTACAGTATCCTAGGCCGTGGCGTGTCCACCCGCACGGGTGCCTGGCCGGTCCCAGCGGCCCCTCCCCCCGCATCTGGGGCTTTTCCGGAGAGTCGGCCGCGCTGTCGAGAGGGGTTGAGCGGCCTCCGATGTAACTGCTGATAGGAGGGAAAGAGGGGGGTCAAAGACGACCCGGACGCTTGGACCCGAGCTTGGAGGCAAATCCCCCAGCTGCAGGCGGTTGGCCAAAGGTAGCGACAGAGAGAACGAGGTTCCAAAAGCTGAGGCAGGAGCGCTCTGCCCACCCGGGGCGCGTGGCCGTGCCCTATCCGCCCGGCCCTCTTAGGGTCACGGCGTAGAAGGCCGCGGAGAGCTGACCCTTTCCCATCCTCGCTTCTCAGACAACCAGACCCACTTCAAGGCTTCCTCCCCGGCTGGGCGCCTGTCTCCTTGTTCGGAGCCCGCGCTCACCCCGGCGACGCCCAGGCGCGCACGATCGTCCTTCCCGGGTCTCCTCCCGCAGAACCGCTGCCCCGCGCGTGCCCCTCCCGACCCTGAGAGCGGCGTCGCGCTTTCGGTGCCGGAGCCGAGGCCGGGCGGAGCCTCGTAGCTCAGGCGAGGGTGTGGGCAAAGCAGCGGGCGCTCGCCGCTCTGCGCGGGACAGGTCAGGGCCCGCCTGCGGAGTGGTAGGGGCTAGAGTGCTGGGTGCGCAGAGCCTGGCCCGGGGTTGTGATGGACACATACTGGCGGAGAAGACGCAACCGCACCGGTTCCGGGGCTGGGAGAGCTGGCGTTCCCCTGGCTGCGGCTCCAAGTCAAAGCCGGGGCAGGAACCTCGCCGAGTGGGGGGCCGGGAGGGGGCGCTCGCGCTCACGCCGCCGGAGGTCAATTCCGGGAACAGGTGTCCTTTAGACCAGCGCTCCGCAACCTTTTGGGCACTTGGGCACTTGGGACCGGCATCGTGGAAGATACGGTCCGGGCCGGATAGGAGGCGGAGCTCGGAGCTCAGGTGAGCTTCGCCCGCAGCTGCGGGGGCTCGGGGAGGACACAGGAGGCCAGCTCGGTTCCTGCAGGTCCGCGGCGAGGAGCTGGGGATCCCTGTGTTAGGCCCCAACCGGGCCTCCTCATCGATTACGGCCGCAGCGAGAGAAGATGGGCGGCGGCGTCTTTTCCTTCATTTCACGCTGAGGACAGAAGCATCGTTTCCCCGCAGGGACCGCGGGATTGTACACGTTCTCCCCGAGTGTGTCTATCTGTGTTTCCTCCCACGTGCCAACGACGTGCACAGACGTGCCCGTGAGGCGAACGACGTGCCCACATTGTCCCAGTGTGAGTGGGCGTGGGCCCCCCCGACGGATGGAAGGGCGCCCTGCCCAGCTGGGTCCCACCCTGCGCGCCCTGCGCTCTGGGCTGTGGGGATGCACTGGCCGCCAAGGACCCTGACCTGAAATCTGCAGATTGAAAACTAATGCTCTTGTTTTCATTAATCTTTTAAATGTATATACAGTTCACGTTCACTTTAATATTTAATGGTAGAAGTGTTTGGGGTCTTTATTTAGAAGTGTGGTGTTTCCGTGACCAGAAATATTCTGTAGGAATTTAGCTCTGGTCACACGAATTAGCCTGGGGTGAACCTGGTTTCCTTAACAGTCACAGTTTCCAAAAACCTACTGTTGGCCGTGAAACAAAGACAGCTGGGAATTCTGTCACCAAACAGAGTTTATTTAGGAGAAAGAAGGACTTTTGATCTGGTACATGCAGACGAGGCAAGACAAGGGTGGGCAGGGGCTGCAGCCTTCATGGTGGGCTCTGGAGATTCGGGTCAGTGGGACCCCCCCTGGGCCCCAGTTCCTCCCACGGGCTCTCGGTCGCTGCCTGGGTTAAGGACTCTGATAAGCTCTGTCACCGTCCATGACATTAAGCAAGGATTTACTGGACATGGAGTGTCCTGGGAGGAATAGCTGCCCAGACATGGCCAGTAAGAAGTAAGAGGGCCCTGGCTGGTGTAGCTCAATGGATTGAGCACGGGCCTGTGAACCAAGAGATCGCGGTTCGATTCCCAGTCAGGGCACATGCCTGGGTTGCAGGCCAGTTCCCAGCAGGGGACACACAAGAAGCAACCACACATTGATATTTCTCTCCCTCGCTCTTTCCCTTCCCTTCTAAAGATAAATAAATAAAATATATTTTAAAAAAGGTAAGAGGTGCCACCACCCTGAACTCACACTGTCCTACAGTGGACTTTCCTCCCAAATAGCCCGCTGCCATTTTCTCCTTGAAGTAACATTCCTCTCTCTCTTGCCCTGCCTGGCGTAGCTCAGTGGATTGAGCGTGGGCCTTGAACCAAAGTGTCACTGGTTCGATTCTCAGTCAGGACACATGCCTGGGTTGCAGGCCAAGTCCGCACTTGAGGGCACGCAAGAGGCAACCACACACTGATGTTTCTCTCCTTCCCTTCCTCTCTCTCTAAATAGAAATAAAAATAAAATCTTAAAGAAAAAGCACATTCCTCTCCATCTTGCGCTTGCCCACGGCTCACTGCTGCAGCCGTCGTGTCCTGAATTATAATTCTTTACTCTTCCCGAGAAAACCATCTTTGCTGGTAAAATAACCGGTTTTTTTTATTTTTTAAGGTTGTTGCATTGAGCCTGGTTCTCAGCTATAAACCAAGCATCCGAGCCTCTCATTCAGCGCCTGGGCCACATGTATTTGGAAACGAGAATCTTTGGGTTTGAGGTCAACACGTACAGTTGAAGTGGCCAGCCTCCAGAAGGGGCCCCTCTTCTGGGTGTTCCTGCCACATCTCTGGGGGCCAACATTGTAACCAGGAGACCACCGTGGGGACAATGGCGTGGGACACTGCAGCTGGGTCACGAAGATGGGTAGCCACCGCCTGGCCCTGTCCGGGATCGCTCAACTGGGGGGGGGGGGGTGAAGACATTGGTCCCACCCTGAGTGCACGGGGGGCGGGTCCCCTGTGGGGCGGTGCCTGTGTGAGGAGCTGCAGGTCCGTGCCCAGGTGAGTGGGCCGCCCGGGAACCATGCTCTCCAGCTGCAGCCTGCGTCCTCACTGTGGCCCCTGGGGACCTCAAGGGGCCGAGGTCCAGCCACAGCAGGTCAAGGGGTCCCACAGGTGAGGGTAGGCGTCGGCGCTGGGTAACAGACAACAACACACCTCAAAGGACAGTGAAGCTCTGTTCCGTTTATTGCAAGTACAAGCAGGTTTTTATATTTTCATTTTAGGTAGTGATTAACATTTGCAGGTGTATAGCATGATCAGTTAAGCAGAAAAAATCAATACAAAGGTAACCAGGAAAAGTACAAGAATTTCCATAGTTTCAATTATATTACACAAAAATTGTTTTGACTAGGAGAACCATTAATCAGACAATTTGAAATAACTCTATGTACAGAGTTTGAATATCTTATTGTTTATTAAAGGTCTAGAATTTGGCATGGGGCAAAAGGTACGCTAGACCGAGCAGAGGTTAGGAAATTTATTATAAGGCCTTTGTGATGTCTTAGCTATTTATCTTTCTGTCCAAAATGTTTCTCTATGTACTATGGACTCTAACTCCTTGGTAATCGTATCTACGTGTTAGTATCTAACAAGCTTCTCCTGTTTCTATGTCTACTAAATTCTAATTAATATATATTCCTGTTCAAGGTAAAGGAGGGGCTGTTACTCTAACAACTTTTAGACATTCAGGGGCTATTTCTTTAGAGGGGATTAACTTGGGGGAGCGCTCTGGGTAATTCTGGCTCCCTGCCACCTGATGTTAACTTGTCCTGCATCTGCTTAACTGGGTCAGGGAAGGAAACATTCTTCCCCTTGGACTCACTGGACATCGTGGGCCTTTCCTCCTCTGGGCCCCCAGAGAGGGCATTATTTTGGGGAAAGGCCAAGGTGGCATAGTTCTCAGTCTGACCTAGTTGTTGATCAGCTCTGAGAATGGCCATCATTTCTAGGAGATTCCAAATTATCAGAAAAGTAAATGTCAGAACACCAAGAGACAGCAAGAACAGAATCAACACTGTATATCCACTTATGCCACGTCCTCCAGGCCTGAATATGCTTCTCTGAAGCCATATTCCCCACACGCGGACTTTGTCAGACAGCGTGGTTGGAGCTGGAACGGGACGTGGCGTCGAGCCAGGCCCACCCTACTGGCAGCTTCTACCTGCCTGGGCCGTGGGAGCTGGGTGAGGTTTCAAGGGCTCACGCGTGCAGTACTTGTTACGCGGCGAGGGAAAGTGAGCAAATGGTGGATCAGTCAGCACTGCCACTGGGGCCAAGTCGGCAACCCAAACCAGGTGCGTGAAAACCCAGCGGCACAGACGGGCACAGGTGCCGAGGCGGCGCAGGACGGACTGCGCTGCGTCAGCTCCCAGAAGAGAGGCCCCGAGCTGCCCAGCCGACCCCTCCCAGGCCCGGCAGCTGACTTGAAGACAGGGAGGTCACCCCGGCCCGAAGGGTGGGTCCAACATAATCACAAGGGTCCTTCGCCAGGTGGCCCCGGGACCCAGGCAGGCCTCCCCAGGTCCCCCCAACCCTAGCAAGTCGCCCTTCCCTGTCAGAGGCTGGGGAGCTGCAGGGACGTCTAGAGGTGTGCGTGAGCTGGAGCTGAACGCTGGGAGCAGCCAGAAAGGTGGCAGAGACCCGCGTCTGTGCACAGCCCCACCCGTAGCTGAGCCTCTGGTCCTCGCCCACCACCAGACCTCACACTCTGGGCTTACTGCCTGGGTCGGGTCTCTGGGTTGGGGGCACCAGCACAGACCGGGTGGGGGGCCTCTGATGAAAACGAGAGAGTCCAGAACAGCGGTGCCGAGCCCCCAGCCCTGCCCCACTCGCCCTCCCTCAGTGCCCAGGACGCGGGAGCCAGGCCTCTCCCCGTGAGGCAGGACACGAGGGGACTTCCCTGGAAAATCTGATCGGCCGGGAGATCCGGGGCCG